ATATCATGCATACAAGCATGCTATTGCTTGTGAATGCGTTGGGGTAACGGTACCGGATAATAGATACCCGCGTTTAGTCTACGCTCTATTTCCTGAATTACATCTATTTATCTCTTAGATAATGGTCTGTTCAACAATTGTAAATAAAAAATAGGTCCGATATAATAAAATTGTATAATTATAATGGGTTAGATTTTATGTACGGGAACTACTTCTCTTCATACAAAATAATTCATAATTTCGGTACCCTATATGAGGCCTCATAAGTAAGGGTTATTCTATGTTTAGAACATGATGGAATTTCCACGATTTGTGTGACGAGCCGAATATTGATGTGTAACATTCAAATTTTGGTGAGTGAGCGTAATAAAAAATAATGTTTAAGTAACTATGATTTTTGTACGGGAACTGCTCGCATGCCAGTATAGGATTGTATATTGGGCATTAATTTTGAGTAAGGGATTAACTATTTTTGAAGACACATACGTATTTATAATCACCTCATATCACTGATTCACTTTTATTTTAGAGATGAACAGTTTAAAAATATCGATTCTTAAAGATCACAGCAGTTTAGTTACTTTGGTTATCTGTATAAACATAAAATGTAGGCAGAAGATGTCGGTAAACAGCGCCTGGAGATCCTTATTGGACAAATCATCTCGGTTGTTGAACGTATGTGAATGTTAATGTCTGTCCTCAGAGGAAGCACAGGAATCGTGTTTGCCTTTTAACCAATTTCAGCCAATTGATGCTTCATCAGTTAAGAAGTAAAGTAATTATATAAAGATTTATCAGTTAATATACTAATAACACTTTAAGGTAATACACTAAAAGCAATTATATCGTCAATCTGCGAATCTTACACTTATGGCAAATTAAAAAATGGTAGATTAAAAAGATAGTAGACGCATTACCACATTTTGTTCGTGCAAAAAGTAATTCATAGTGTTCACATTTGTGTATCTATAACACTTGCCGTGATTCGTGTCTTTGCGAATGATCGTCTCTAAGGTTTGCTTCTTGTTGGCATTACGGTACAAAGTTTAAAAATCAACATACGTATGTGTGAAAGCTTTGTGAGGCCAGTGCACTATTTGAACTGAAATATAAAGGGAATATCGGTACAAAGAAACAAAAATGTGATAAACACGAAATGTACTCGTCGATCATATGTATAATTTTGTTTTATATTGAGCATGCACGATTATGCTGACCAAAGTAATCAACCGTTGTCTCAACATTAAAAAACAGATTAAAAACATGTTAGTCTTTGGTAGGTATTAATAGCAAAATTTATGGCAAGTTAATTTTTTGATAAATGTGTTCGAGGTTTATTCAAATTATGTTGTTGTTTTGTTTTTTTTTACGAAGACTGAAGACTTCTCGTAAAATATACTGGGAAGAACTGAATAAAGGTAGTTTTACCATTTGTCATTCTAAAATTACAACTCTAATGGGCCATTCTAAAATTAGTAAAAGAAAAGATTATAAAGAAAATTTCTGAAACGTTTTCAAATCTAAATGACTCAATAACCTAATGGGGTTTCGGAAAAAAAACTTTCCAGTTAAATTTCTCTAATGTTTGAGACCTGTGGACTGTGTTTCCACCCATCAAACAGTTTACAACAGCTAACATTGCTTTTGAACTTTAATTCTCAAATTAATAGCTTATTTTAAAACAAAGAATACCTGTATCATAAATGACAAAGTACAAAGTTTTGTCAAAATGACGAAAGCACCAATAACACTCACAATCCCGGAAAATCATGTGCATGAAAACTCCGAAAGACACAACATTAAAAACTCCGAACTCTTCGAATACTCTCAGTAGATTATGTTCAGTGTAAATAATTTGTTTTTAACATTTTAAAAGGTACGGTATGTTTCTCTTTTACAGTGATTCATTCACCGTTTAATTTCCGTGTGTATATACTAGTCAACTGTTAAACCAATTGACAATATGTGTGTTATGTGTTATTCCAATTAGACCCATTCTCTAAAAATTGACAATTTGTGCGTCTTAATATTTACGTTTCTTGTAATTAGGGCTGATTCAAATAATACTACATTTATTTGGGCAGTAGAATACTTATTGACTTTTCTGTTGTTTTTTTCCTGTCTAGTTTGCTCGATTTCCGTCGAACGTACATATACGTGGGTGATCTAATTCTAAGAGAAGAAAGATAAAATTTGCTACTTTGTCTGGCAGTATTAATATGTCTTATTAATAAAACAAATGGACAATCTTCCATCACGTTCGCGAAATAGACACCTTTGTTATGTATAAACGGGAAATCTTCAAAACATTTTTAAACTTCACATAAGCTGAGGGTATGGACGATGACATATTGACATACATGCATATTGACCTGACATTAACTAGTTAAAACAATTATGTTATAATAAATGTTCTTTTTTTGCTCTCCAAACTATATTGTATGGCATTTTTGTGAAAGATACTCCTATTTAATTATAATTATATAGTATCTAAATCATTACGCGGAATAAACAGTTTATCATATCATTATTATCAGTATTAGTTACTTTATATTCTTTATTTTAGAAATTCTGCAGTACTACAGATATACAATATTATTATTATTATTATTGATATCATCATATTCTTTGTCCAAAGAATTAAGCAGTACGACTGTTTATTCATTTTAGCATCTATTTTAAAATAGTTGGAATAATACCTTTAATATATTGTACTCTTACATAAAGAATATATATAACATATCGATGAACCGAATTCAAATTGTTTATGTCCATGGTTCTATCTATATTAGATATATATAGCACATTCATTTATTTTAAATAAACATAGAATTAACGAATTAATCAATGAAACTATTGGCAAAATTCACAATTTTGTGTCGGCAATAGATATTATTTCTGTGGCAAAGATAACGGTTGACTAGTTTACAGGAATAACCCTAATTATATATTTGATGACACCTGATATATGTTTATAGGTGATACTAACATACAACAATATATGAAAAGATATTTATGATGTTTTTGTTCGGCAATCCATACATCTATAACACAGCAATATTGCTTTACTAATTCACTCATTGAAAATATGATTTTTTATAAAACATTCCGATGGAAAGGAATTTTTTCATTGACATCTCAATGTTCTTGATGTGTCTGGTTTTGATAAGGTAAATATCACCGAGTTCAAAGGTATGTCATCGTCCTTATGTGATTTTAATGACATGGAAAATCCAACAAATCGATATGAATGCGATTGATATAACAATTGTAATTACATGTCCAGAATATAAAACAAATTAAGTTTGAAGGCAGAAATTGTGTACACTGTTATTTTAAAACACAACATTTTCTTTTGCTTTTCTGTATAGTTTTCTAGATACATAAACAACAAGCCCAACCAGTGTACACTTAAATGACATTTAAAGGGACTGTAATGATCTATCCTTCCATTTAATATGGTCTAAATGATCTAAATTACAAAGAGACTCTGAGCCCGGCATTTTTAATGTTTTTTGTTATTATCTGTCTGTTGTTTTTCTGAAAATGAATGTGTTCATCATTTCCCAAATGACCCTTCTATTAATTAAATCCATTAGACGAAATAATCAGATAATTTTGCTTCCAGACCTTTGATCAACTCTACAATTTGTATTTATATTGAAATACATGCGCCAATAGTTATGTGGTAATGCCTGCAGATGTTTTTCAATTCTAAATTACATACCGGTTGAAAAGTTAAATGTTGAATACCGCTGAAGCCGGTGCTAGGGAGCGCAGACGGTAGCTAGATTAAACAATGTCATTCATTAAACAGATTCAATCATATCAAATCTGTATATTTTTTATTTAGCAATGTTGTTTAATCCTTATTATTTCTATATTCTAAGTAGAATTGAGAAATATCTGCAGGCATTACCATATAACGTTTGGCTTATTTGACATTAAAATGTGTAGCGTCTATCTTTATCGGTATATGTTGTAATATAGTAGTATATTTTTTTTTAGAATACTCTTAAACGAGAGCGTGCGTTTCCTTGTCACAAAAGTACTTTTTAAATGACAATGATTTGAAAGTAATTTGTAAACTGCCCTGATTTATGAGTATTTGCGCATTGACAAAAGTCCGTTTCAGATTGCTTTCTAAATATATGGTTACATTTAAGGAAAGTGCAAAAAAAAATAGTGTAAAGTTTTTATTAGAACGTATTAATATAAAAACACTACCTTTGGTAAAAGATAATTAAATAACAAAAAACATTTGAACAATAACTTGGGTATAGCATTATAATTATATAAAATTATTTTCATCTTAAATTGTGTATAGTTGCATTTTACTTAATTTGTATTTGCTCATTCATTGGTTACAACAACAAACTGAAAAAGGACATCATTAGCTATATTTGTTTCCAGCATTTTATTTCATCAACTAATACTACTTTTCTGAGGAGTTAATTTACAGACATTTTTTTTCTTCAATATAAAATGTAGTCTGATTCAACTCGTATTGGAGAAGAGACAAGTTTGATTGTTGTAAATAAAAAAATCACTAATATATATGCAACTGTAAACGAACATGGCCTAAATATTTAATTGAGGAAAATGAAAAACATGACACTGGCAATTAATCATACATAAAACAAAGTGTTTCTAGGCATGTAAGAACACAATCAAATATTGTTAATCTTAATGAATGGGATGTTGACATTTTTATTGTTCGCTTTGCATATCACAATGATCGATATTATAGTTATCAATTATAAATTATTGATTGAATCTTATCAATTAGTTATAAAACTACATTTATATGATAATACCATACAATTTATAACCACCTGAACATATTCATTAATCCAAAAATGTAAAATAATAATAAAAAATAGAGACATTCAAATGTCTAAAATTGTATACTAATTTTGTTATGGAATATAGATATATGTACTCTAGTTCAAATTCCTTTCCTCTCTTTTCACGAAAGTAGACAATATAACACGTTAGGAGGAAATAACCATTTTAATAGCACCTGAAAATGTTTGATATACATGCGTGAGTATTACCATAATAAACAATGTAAACAACGAAAGTTTTAAAACAATAACACGGAAACACACCATATGTAGACATTTCTTATTTGATGAATATATAAGAGACCCTTTGTTAAGAATACATTGATGTTTGTTATAATGGTTAATCTTAGTTCTTTCATACTAATGATATAAATGGTAAACAAACATGTTTGATATAGTGATCATTAGGGGATACTCCATAATTGTTAGTCTGATGAGTTGTTTGCACAAAGTTATATTCCCACGAGCCCGCAGAGCGAATGTAAATACAACTGTTCTCTATCAACGAGAGCGGTAAAATCCACCGGGATTGCACATTCATGTAATATTCCATTTATTTATACCTTCTGAAAAGTTAGTGAGAATATGTGTATAAATATCACGTGACGTCAATACACATTGGTGAGGTAACAGCTCGAGCCACATAAATCTTGTCCGGTTAGCTCAATTGGTGAAGCGTTGATTTATGAATCGGGCGAGCTGAGTTTGATTCCTTCGATGTGCAGATCACTTTCGTTGTGATTGGGTATGAAATCTTTTCTACGGTCATTCGCACAGTAAACTCTGCTCAGGGACTGACAAAAGTAATAATATTTCCTTGAGAAAATGAAGGCACTAGAACTAGTAAACTGTTTGACAGTCTGCACAGGAACAATGCGGCAGATGTACTGCGTTCTGGTGAAATCGAAGTGGCTTATTGCCGTGATACAGAGGGCAATCTTCAAAAACCAGCACCACTGCACCACTGATTAAATATGTTTTAAATGTATTTGTATAAAACTGTATGAAACTATTACAAAAGGTTGAACATATTTTATAATCATGAAACAGAAAAATTTACGACCACAACAAACAAAATGTGATGCTTATGAATTATGAACGTTTTCAGTTTCATAGAAAACGTTTGAAACATTATTAAACATATAAACGATCATTTTATTTAGTATATAAATATAAAGCAATTTATTGAACAATGATATCAAAAAATACAAAACACCATAGTAAAAACCTGTTTGTTCTAAATTTAAAACTTCCCTGCATTTTGCTGATTACTGTTTCCTGTCTGACTTGAAGGTATAGCACTCCTTGCATGATGCGATACAATAGCTTCAGTGACAAACGAATCGTTGTCAACCTTATTAAAAATCATTTTCTTAAAAGCCATTTTGAACATGCTGTTACCGTAAGCATACAAAAAAGGGTTGACTGCTGAATTGGCATGACTTAAAACAATTGTTACCAATAACAATTCTATCGGATATGTACAGTCACTACAAGTTAATGTTATGGTATTCAAAGTGTGGATAGGTATCCATGAAATAGCAAACAGTAAAATAACAAGAGCTAATGATTTGGCAGCCTGTATTTCTTTCCTCAATCTTGATATAGAAGATGAACTACCTGGCTGAGGCGATGATACACTTAGGGCAGCAATCTGAACCATCTGTTTCCGAACGATTAGAAAAATATAGAAATATATTCCTGAAGTTATTATCAAAGGTATTACAATGCATCCAAAGAAATGAAAATAAACCGTATATTCCATATCAATAACTGTCACGAAATTACAACTCCAGTCGTCGTTGTGTAACTCTTTCAAATTCCAACCAAACACAGGTATTAATCCAAATATAAGGCCTATAAACCATACACCAGCGTTCAGAAATAAAGCACGTTTAACATCAAGGTGTTTTGTGTAAGCAAACGGATACTTTATTGCAAAATATCGTTCAAACGCCACGGCTAGTAAGTTAAATATTGACACTTGCGTGAGAGCAACAACAATTGAATTGGTAAAAACACAACCAAGGAAATGATGAGGCAATCCCAAATAGCTTAATGCCGCTAGAGGAGCAACAACTATGCCAACAAGAAAGTCTGCTAAAGCTAAGCTTGCTATAAAACAGTTTGTTACAGTTTGTAAGCGACGATTTTTGAAGATTGCTACAAGCACAAGACCATTCCCAGTACATGAAAGCACTCCAATGATTACCTCTGCGCTAATATACACTTGACTTGTTGTATCCATTGTCTATTATTTATTAAATGATTATAGAATACTTTGTACAAATAATCTTAGTGTTGTTCGTATACTAGCTGATGTATGATCGAGTTTGTCGTCTGGCTATGTCCAAATCGTTTTCCGATAAAGCCGCATCGTTTCCTGATCACAGTGAAATGTTTCTATAGAAAATTCAATTTTCCTCTTCAAAATTTTATGATTGAATAAGCGTAATGAAATTTGAAATTTGATATAGTAATGATATAGTAATATAAATCAATTCCCAGATTTAGTGTGTGATTTTTTTTATTTTTGATTATGTAATACAATGCAGTAGATGTTTTCAAACCAAATATCTAAAAAAAACACCAGTACTTCCATTAATTTATACACACACTGAGTTAAATCCAAAGAGAAAGTTTGGTCAAATGCGATTATTGTAATTTAATATTTTAGAATAATATTTCAATCTGCAAAATTTTCACATTTCACGACAGAAATTGGCTATATCAGTATTACTATGAATAAAGGCTATATTCATATTATCGGTTTCGGAAATTGCAGTCGATACGCAAAAAGGTGTGTTTACAAGATGTTAGCTGACAAGAAATAATGTATATTGTAATCAGTCAACATTATGTAGAGCGACTACTTAAAATATTTAAAAATAGTATGAAAAGAGACTATTAAAGAGATGAAAGTCTTCCTACATTGTGTTGAAACCATCTTCATTGTCAGGTTACAGTAATCATGGTGTTTGATATGTAACAATTGTCATTGACAATTAAAATCATTGTGAGGTCGGCATTGCAACATGAATTGCGGTTAAATAAGTATAGAAAGAGTTATTAAGTAAGTTAGTAATAAGGAGGAAGTAAGTAAGTATTTTATTATTGTGACATGTGTATGACAATTTACAAATAACGAAATAAGTAATTTAACATAACAATCGGCCCGATGGACCAATAAAACCTTAACATATATACATTAATAAGAAAAACATCTACTACATTGTATTGCATAATTTTTCGTCTCTTCAAAGTGAAATATCACAATTTGAAACTGAGGAAGCAGAGAATTTTTTAAATAATCATGATTTTGGCCAGGAGGGATGTTTTGATGAACTAGATAGTACAATAACTGTAGAAGAATTATTGTCTGTTGTTAAAAATTTGAAAAGGAATAAAGCTTTTGGGAATGATATGCTTTTAAACGAATACTTTATATCATGTATCGATATATTGTCATCTCATTTAGTAGATCTTTTCAACATTATTTTAAATACTGTTCACTTTCCAGATAAATGGTCAGAGGGCATAATTATACCTATTTTTAAGAAAAACGATCCCTGTGATGCTCGTAATTATAGAGGGATTACATTAGTAAGTTGTTTATCAAAAAAAAGGTATTTTGAATAAACGAATTTCATGCTGGGCCGAAAATAACAGTAGATTGAGTGATGCGCAATTCGGATTTCGTCAAGGTCGGTCAACTACTGATGCAATTTTTGTTCTTAATGCTATCGTTCAAAAACTCTGAAATGATAAAAATCGTCTTTATTGTTGCTTTATTGATTTAAAGCGTGCCTTTGACAGTGTATATTTAAATGGTTTATTTTTAAAATTATATAAGCTAGGTATAGGTGGCAAAGCTTTGCGAATTTTAAGAAGTATGTATTCACATGTTAAAACATGTGTAAAGGCTTGTAACTCTTACTCAGACTTTTTTGCATGCGCTGTGGGCTTGAAACAAGGGGAGATAATGTCGCCTCTACTATTTTCTCTTTTTATAGAGGACCTAGAACTGTTCTTACAAGATAGTCCGTTGTGTGGTTTAACTCTTGACGATATTACTTTTATTCTTTTATTATTTGCTGACGATATGGTTTTACTTGGTAAAAGTCCTGTGGAATTACAGCATAGTCTTGATTTGCTAAATGAATATTGTGATAAGTGGGGGCTTGAAGTCAACACTGATAAAACAAAAATTGTTGTATTCAGAAAGCGAGGCCCGTTAAATGCAAACGAAAAATGGACATACAAAGGTAGTTTAATAGAAACTGTAAATAACTTTAATTATCTAGGCACTGTTTTTAATTACACAGGCTCTTATACTTTAAATCAGACGACATTAGTACGTAAAGGATTAAAAGCTTTGAATGTTTTAATACATAAAACGAAACATTATGCCGTTAAACCCTCTGTTATGTGCCAACTGTTTGATGCTTTTGTTGCCGCCACCTTGAATTACGGATGCGAAATATGGGGCTTTGGAAAATCGAAAGAAATAGAACGTGTTCATTTAAAATTTTGTAAACAATTATTAAATGTTAAAACGTCAACATGTACAAATAGTATTTATGGAGAGTTAGGTCGATTTCCAATGTATATAGATAGATATGTTAGAATTATTAAATTTTGGTGCAAAACTGTATCGACGGAAAATATCTTGATCAGTAAACTATATGATTGTTTACTTGAAATTAAGAATAATAAAAATAATTGGGTTTATAATGTTAAATCTCTTTTAGATGAATACGGATTTTCCTATGTATGGTACAATCCAGGTTTAGTTGACTTGAAAAAATTTCATATTTTGTTTAAAGGAAGAGTAACTGATGTTTTTAAACAAAAATGGGAACGTAAGTTATCTACCAGTGAAGTATCGTATGGATATATTAAAAATAGTTTTGAATTTGAATCTTATATAGACATTTTACCTAAAAAGTTTAGAATTGCTACATCCAGACTGCGTTTATCATCACATAAACTGAGAATTGAAACAGGCCGATATGCGCCAAATAGAATAGACCGCAATCAAAGAAAATGCTTACTTTGTAACAAAAACGATATAGAAGATGAATATCATTTTGTAATCATTTGCCCGTTTTACGATGAATTAAGAAAGACTTTTATAAAATCTTATTATTACAGACATCCAAGTGTGTACAAATTTGTAGAATTGATGCAATCTAGGAATTTTAAAATAGTAAAGAATCTCGGTAAATTTTTGTATAAAGCTTTTTCTGTTAGAGCGAGTCAAATTGTTTAGTTTTTCATATCATTTATACCATCTACTAGTAAATGTTATCTGCATATTGAACTTTACTAAATCTAGGTTGTGTATAATTTTTGTATTCATAAACTGAATTGCAACTGTATTCATATACCCATCCTCCTTCTCCATGTGATAAATATTATTTTTTACCGTAGCATGCGTGTGTGAGTGAGTGTGTTGGTGTACGTGTGTGCGTGCGTGCGTGCATGTGTATGTGTGTGTGTGTGTTTACTTTCTCCCACTATGTTATGCACTAATTTCAATGTTCCTATGTATGCCATTGTCATGTGATTGTAAATTTGTATCATATATTATTTGTTATAACGAAAAACTTGTAAAAGTTTAAGTTAATAAAGTATCTATCTATCTATCTATCTATCTATCTATCATAATGATCATTTTCGCCAACATGCTTGTCAACCCTTAATCTGTCTGATCTCTTTTCTCAAATTACAAACATTTGAAAAAGAACTAGTCATGTGTACTGTAGATAACAATTAAGGTCTCGTGACAATGAAGTAGATATGAATCAGCTACACATTATATAATCATTATTGTAACAGTCGACTCTAAAACCAATAAAACAAATTTAGGATTTTCAGCTACAGGTAATTTTATAATATTTATATTTTAATTATAAGATTATAATAAAGTTAGATTATATAAACTTATGTTTAACAATGTTTTTCTTGCTAGCATATTGAAACCTCTATTTGGTGATATTTGGAGAGAGAAAAAATATTTTACATTTAATCTGTTTAACATATTCGATGAAAAAAAACATTTTATAGAATGCCTTGGTTTGTTCAACACAAAATGAAACTAGCTCGATATTTTGAAAAGGGAATGCTGAAATGAAATGATGGACAAAAAACGAGGTCGTCACTTATGATATAACATCGTGTAATAATATTTGTTTTCAATAGTTCAATTATTAGCCTTTCTTAAATTTAATACCATAAAGGTTAAGATCCTATTAAAGTTAATACTATTTCATTCATAAAAGTATCAATTTGACAAATTAGAACAATTTCTTAGATAATTTGTATGTATATATGAGTTCATAACAGATAAAAATATAACAGCTTGTATAACATAATATAATCTTGTTGATACCGGTAAATATTATCTGTTCACATATACTCATATAAATGCGTGACAAATATTTAAAAGGAGAGATACATGGTACTCCAATGAACTGGAGCTTAATTGACTGTTTAAAGTAGTTTATAAAATAGTATCAAGTTGAACAGGGTATAATCCTAAAGATGGACGGAAGACATGGTCTTACTGTTCAAGAATCTGTCACTTTTCTAGGCTACATTTGCTTCTCTCTAATTCTTACCAATAGGTAAGTCTGTTGATAACACAAGACATAATATGCAGTCGCGCATATTTCCTGATCGCAAAACAAGGAGATTCCCCTAAAGGAGATTCCCGTTCAAGCCTTTCCGATCAGGCAGCAAACGCCAAAATCCTTCCCGGTCAGGAAGTTTATTGGCCCTTTTTACGTAGTTCAGGAAAAATATCCAGTGCATTACAGTTTTCAATCCAATTCAATTTGAATATCATCCTTTAGTGCAGAAAAAGATACATCCAAAATCCTACCGAGTCATTTGTTTTTAGAATGTCTACAATTAAAATTATCTGAAAGTGAATTTATGTAAAGTTTTAAGATTTTACTAGGAAGTAGCTGCTTCCCGTTTTGGAAACACTGTTTCCTGATAGGGCATCTAGCAAAATATTCACCATTAAATGTTTCCGTTAGGGAAGGTTTTTTCTTTATGTTAGTGCGTTCTATTCTGGAAATTTTCATGTTGATTGAGATCGCTTGAGGAAAAAACAACAGATAAAGTAACTATTTTTTTATTAATCTCCTGTGCAACAAATCAACAGAGTCATTGTGTGAATGTTTTGAAGTCTGGTGTGTCTGGCAGTCCAGATACAAATGATAGCTTCACAGCTAGGTGGTGTCTTCTCAAATTATGTAAATATTGGAATATATTCGAACATCGAAAACAAATATTCCAGCATCAATTTCCTTATTCGTTCCCGACATTAGTTATTTTTAGTATGCCCCACTTGGAAGAAGAACAGGTATATTGTTCTGCTAATGTCAGTCTGTATGTCTGTTTGTCTGTCCGTCGGTTGGCCACATGGTTTCAAGTGATTATCTTAAAAACTATTTATCACAAAGTCTTTATATTACACAAACTGACTGGTCATAACTAGTAGATGACCCCTACTGATTTTGGGGTCACCAGATCAAATGTCAAGCCACAGAGGCCTTAAATGTCAGAAGTGTTTCCGCTTATTATCACAGAGTCTTCATATTTCACATATAGAATATTCATATGTAGTAGATGGCCCATATTGATTTTGGGGTTACTAGTTGAAAGGTCAAGATCACAGGGGATTAAATGTCAGAATTTTTTCAGCTCATTATCTTGAAAACTATTTGTCACTTAGTCTTCATATTTCACATATTGATTGGTTATAACTAGTAGATGACCCCTATCGAATTTGGGGTCTATAGATCAAAGGTCAAGGTCACAGGAATCTTAAATATGTTTGTCTGTCTTTTGGTAGAACACATTGTTTCTGCTGATTATCTTTAAAAATATTTATCAAAAAGTCTTCATATTTAACATACTCGTTGGTCTTAGCTAGTAAATGAGCCCTTTTGATTTTGTGTTCATCGGTAGACCACATTGTTTCCGCTGATTTTCTTAAAAATTATTATCAAATAGTCTTCATATTCACATATTGATTGGTCTTAACTAGCAGATGACCCCTATTGATTTTGGGGTCACTTGGAGAAACGTCAAAGTCACAGGGGCCATTTCTAATCTAAAGATTTGCAAACAAGGTACTACTTAAAATATAACGTACTTCCAGATTGTGAAGCAATGTATCCCAAATGGAAACTTTTAAAGGTGAATATGTTGCTAGATGCAACGTTTCCAAAACGACAAGTGGCTAATCTTGGTAAAATCTAAAATATTTGCTTAAGTTCAATATCTGATTATTTTAGTTTTAGACATTTTAATAGAAAAAGACTCGGTATTTAAGATGTATCTTTTCTGCACTTAAGGGTGATATTCATATTGAAGAGGGTTGAAAACTGTTATGCACTGGGCATTATTCCTAAATTACGTAAAAAAAGACCGATCGGGAAGGATTTTGACGTTTGCTGCCTGATCGGGAAGCCTTGAAGAGGAATCCCCTTGTTTCCCGATCAAGAAGTATGCCCGACTGGTATGTTAGTAACAACTTTTAACAAGTGTGTCCTGATAATGAGGTAGAATCATACATGTATCATGACGTTTTGCAGATATGGGTTATCAACCATATTCGTTCGGTTTTGTTTTGATAAAAATTCTTGAATTAATTGAATGAACTAATTTAATCACGTATGAGGTTACTTTAATTTTGCGAATTCTTAAAATAACTTTAATCTAAAAAGTCATTTAGCACTTAAAAAGCTTAATTGAATACTTATAGCAAATAAATGGATATCGTTTTATCATCATTCCAAATAAGCGCTTTTGTATATTTTTACAAAACAGTATGGCTGATCCATGTGAAAAAGCAGCGGAACAATTAACCACACCAACAACAACATTAATGGAATCTGAAGGTGATCTACAGGTTTATTGCCAGCACTGTGACCGATATGGATTAAGATTGGCTGCCCATGGTTACTGTACCAATTGTTGTGAATACATATGTGAGTCCTGTTTTATATTTCACAAGAACCATATTCTGTCTAGAGATCATATACTGCTACACAAAACAAACTTCCCGCAAACATTACGATCACCTTCAAGTAGTTATTCTCAACAGAACGATGACTTTACAGAAATTTGCCCAAAACACAAAGAAGAAATGATCAAGTCCTTCTGCGAAGATCACAAAGCCCTACTCTGTAATGTTTGCATTACCCTTGAACACCCGGTGACTTCTTGCAAGGTCAAAAGCATAGTCGACATTTCTCAAAATGTTATCGGCGGGAACGAGTACCGAGAAATTCTGAAAACAATGGATTCAATTTCTGAAAAATACCATAAAATGAATGATGAAATGCATAAAATGTCTATAAAGTGTAGCAAATCCTTGGCAGATGTTTTGGTTAACATCAGGACATTTAGGGAACAAATCAATCAAAGATTAGATGAACTTGAGAACCAGGCCGAAGAAAGAGCAGACTTTATCCGAGAATATAATTCAGAAAAACTTAAGACAGTAGAAACAGCATATCATGATGTGACAATAATTATTGAAAAATTATCTCGTTCAATCCAACAACTCAATACATATAAACGACCAGAACGGCTCTTCGTGGAAGTAAAGTGTGCAGAGGAAATGATGAAAAATTATGAACAAAATTTACAGAAGCTAAAGTTTACAATCAATTATGATGTCAAAGATTGCATCTTCAAGCCAAATGAGAAAATATCAATGCTACTCAAAAGAGAAAAGTCACTGGGTAATATAGTGAAAAACAGACTAAATGAAGAAAACACTGTAGAAACCTTACAAATACAGTCCAGACAACCTTCTGCCTGTGGTGAAATCTGTGTGAAGACACCTGGGGACCATTCCACCTGTTGGATTACAGGAATGGTTTTCCTCACTCCACAGCTTCTTATTGTCATTGACAGTAATAACAATGCGATTAAGATGGTCGATACAGGCAACCAATCTACTACTCATCAACTACAATGTTGTCATAGGCCATACGATATCGCTGCAGTAAACAAAACTGAACTCGCTGTCACACTGCCTGACAGTAGAGAAATTCTCTTTGTCTCATCCTGCTCAAACAAACTAACAGAAGGCCAAATTATTAAAACTGGTGGCAGATGTTTAGGTATAAGTTGTTATGAAGATAAACTTGTTGTTTCATTCAGTAATCCCGCAAAAATCCAGATCTTGAATATGAATGGCACGGTACTAAAAACATTCCCGGATGATATATTCAATTCCAATCCACTATATGTTGTAACAAACAAAAATGCTATCTATGTGTCAAAGTTTGGACTGAGAACGGCGATAAGATTCAACTGGGAAGGTGATGTTACTGGTAGATACCGTGATATGTGTGTACCTAGAGGAATGGCACTGTCTGATGATGGCACTGTCTTTATTTGTGACAGAGAAAGGGACGATATTGAAGAGATATCTGAGGACTGCACCATAAGACAAGTTTTGTTAGAGGATTTGAAAAGTCCCCAGTCTGTCTGCTGGTGTGCCGAAACAAGACAGCTTTATTACAGCTGTTATACTTGAAATGACGCAGACGACAATTTTCTCCAAATCTACAAGTTGACGTAGATCGGTGTACTTTGTCACTACGTGATCATATGATGTAGCTGCTATATGCAGATGAAAATTTTGCACTGATATTTAACTAATGTAATAAACTATGAGTAACGATTTTATTTTATACCTGTATGTTTTTTTTAGTTTCATTGAAACTTCGGACAAGGTTTTGTAGTCCGGCCTTAAAAAATTGATTCTTCTTCCTAGCGTATTTTAATACACCTGTTAAAGTCGATTAATTCTTGTGAGTGATAAAGTTTTTATTTGAATCAAGTTGACCTCTGGTTATATCAGCTAATCTCGTTGGTCAACGGTTTATTTTTTAGACTTCTGATTGGATTAATTTAGATTTGTGTTATTGAATTTGATAGGTTGTTTCACTACCTATATATAGTACGTTATCTTGCTCGCTATTCTGTTACTTATTTTGTAGTCGTGATCACGTTTCAAGTCTTTTTGCCCACCCACTAGCCCATTTGGTTTAGCAATAAGTTTTATTGCATTTAGTTATATTAATATTAGTAATTCTTTGTGGATTGATTAATATATCATTCTATAGTTTATTAGTGTTGACCAATTTTGCAGTTATCTAGTGATAATTCGTGATCATTAATTAACCTAATTAAATATTATTATTGATATTTCTGACTTGGTTTTTCTCTTTTAAATCTTAAAATGAACAATATTTGACACGATAAGATAACAAGCGAGATATTATTGAAACTTTGGACAAGGCTTTGTAGTCCGGCCTTAAAAAAGAATTGATACTTCTACCGCCACGTAATTGTGTGAATAATAAAATAACAAGCGAGGTATCAAAACACTTGAGGCGTATTAATTCTACCCTCAAAACCCACTTTGAGTTATGGATTTGGAAGTTTATAAGAGATTTCAATATCAAAATATACCAATCGAGTTGCCAACATTGTCTGCTTCTATACTGGTGGCAAAGACTATATATATAATAACCTTTGGTAGGAGCATGTTATGGGTTAATTAATGTTATGGGTTAATTAATATAACAGAGTAATAAATATATTAATATGTTCACTATTCTTTATTTCCTTCTTTTTATCATTTTTTAAAGATTAAAATCAATATATTAGAAATTCAGTTTGATTAAATGTTAATGCGTTCGTTGCTTAAAGTATTTCTAATGTTATAAACGAATTAGAAGCGATATATGACTTGTACTCTTAAAATGCTTTTATCCGTTTTCTGGAATAAATAAGATAAATGACAATTCAACTGGCCTTACTTTTTTGGACTTACTTAACCATTTAAACAGCCAGTATAAACTGTTTCGGCACTTTATACATATGTTCATCTCGTATAAGTTTAAATGTATACATGTCTGATTGGTTCAATATAAAGTTTGGTTTACGGCAAGTGTGTGTTCTTTCCCATTTATTTTTTAACTGTTTCATAAATGATTTAGCCATAAAGTTGAATGCATTAGGGCTTGGTATCGAAAATGAAAATGGTAGTATTGTTATATGCAGATGATACAGATATTCTAGCAAAGAATGAACATAATTTACAATTGATGTTAGATTGCCTATGTGGATGGTGTCAAAATAATCAAATGCTGATAAATATTACCGAAAGTAATGTTGTACACTTTAGAACAATGTCCATTCAGAAGTCTCAGATTGTATTTAAATGCAATGATGATGTATTTGAATACACTCAAAAGTGTTCATATCTTGGTCTGACGCTAAATGAATTTTTAGATTATAAAGTAACTGCTAAGTTTGTGTCACAGGCTGCAAAGTCAAGGCAATAGTGGTATGCTTTGTTTGTTTGTTTCATTTTACGCCTTTTCCCAACAGTATTTCAGTCATAGTGGTATGCAATTTCATGTTAACACAAAACTATTCGGCAGCCTTGTATGGCCTGGGTCATTGCAAATGGTGCAGCCATCCCGGGCACTAGACAGTTTAGTTGTATGGATGTAATACAAAACAGGGTCATGCGTTTTTTTCCATTTTTTATTGGTAAATATAACTAACACCTAACCTTGCTGTTGTAAGTGACATGGACTGGGAGCCAACTTTCTATAGACAAATTAAAGTTCTTACCTAATAGTTAAGAAATATAATCTATCAATCAAATACTCGCATTTTTATTTTATTTCATTTTACTTTTTTTTCTTAGCTGACAGATTATCATTACTTAAATCTGCTGGTCTTTGATCTGATCGAAGTTGATATATGACTTATTATGTAAAATACCTTTCAGTGCTAGTTTTTAAATTAATGTCTGAAATGTGTAGATTATTTTAATGTAGATTTAACACTTTGATTAGTATATATGGTAATCTAACCTTTTAACATGTTTGTTACAACATACATATAGTCTCCTATAATTCTTTATAAGAATGACCATTTACATGTATTTAAAATAAGTTTAAGTGAATGTGTATTTGTATTATTTGTACATGTATTGTATGAGACTAAAATAAACTATTAAACATTTATGTAGCAGAATAAATTGTTCTAGAACAAAAAAATAATAATCAGATGAATGTAGAACCTAATCACAAAAGCATTGCGCTAAATTTAAATTGTTTACACATTATTTTAATTTTTCTGACTGACACAAGTTTGTCGTTAGCTTGCAAATAGAAGATATTGAATGGTTGTAAGTTCAAAACGGAATTTATTGAACGAGTTAAATAAACAGTTTGTAACGCAGTAACAGCAGGGACACTGCCCTTGTAAGAGTGTCAATCAACAATAACAAATTTTTAAAGCATTTTATCCAAGCTCTTTAATATGACATATCTTGTATTTCAAAAGCATTTACAATATCATTCATGAAAGAAAATATCATTTAAATAAAAGCAAAATTCTTAAAAGCACAATCAAGCAAAAATTATCATTGGTACAGATCTACATAATGCAGACCGAAATTTAGTAACAAGGCTTATACATGTGATAGAATTTAGATATACTTGGATTCATCCACAAAGATGGTAAGCAGTCTAATGTTGACTTTCATTTCTAAGGAATATGTATTAAAGTTGAAACTAGTAGGATGTGATATCTGAGTTTTTACTTTATAGGCAGTCTATTTAACACTTATCAATAATGATTTCTTCCCCATGACATTTCCTCCCCAATTATTTTAATTTATGGTATATGGGAGACCAGTCAGTGAAGAAATTGGATTGGTGAGGACAGGCAGGGTGAGTAAACAGTTTGTGTTGACTGGAGAAGAGACTGGATAATAAATTGCTTTTGGGCGAGAAGAGACGAGGTGAGAAAATAGTTTGGATTGACGGTAAAAGATACAGAATTGGGAAATGCTTAAGGTGAGAAATGGCAGTGTGAGGAAATTGTTTGGGAGAACAGTCTTGATTTATGTTGCTTTCAAGCCTGTAACCTTTTAGGAAAGCAACATCCAGATTCACTTTTATGTGCATATGAAAATAACTTTAAGTTTAAAGTTCAAAGATTTTTTGAATTTTCCAGCAGACAAAATCTTTATTTTTCTAGATACTGAAAAGGTTTACAGCAAAAGAATCTACCCACTTCTGCATATATTGCTACTTAATCAACGAGTAAATAAAGGAAAACATAAAAATATAGACGTCTAAACCAATATTCATAATTTATGGTGCAATAAGAAAATCCTTACATCTAGGATTTGTGAAAAGGATTTGTCAAATGTAGACAATAAACATTGTGCTGATAAATGGATTATTTTATTAAACCACGACTATCTTATTTCACAATTACATTAAAATATATACAAATATATCTTCTATCATTCAGTTTTGGGCCCTGAAGTTGTACTGAAAATGAAGGCTAGGAATTGAAATAAAATTATTTGTAATAGTTTATTCAATTTTATTTTAATGTCATAAGTAAAACTTATGATCAAGTATATAAATTGTAAATGGTACATCTGATTTATTCAACATAAAGAAAGTATTGATTAAATGCAATTTTGTCTTAACCCTTTACCTCATGAACATAAAAATTATTGTGAAAAATGGCTGTTTTCATTGAAAAGCCTCCTGTTACAAGTTCAAACTGCTATGAAACTATGAAAAATGCTTCAATACTGATGAAACTTTGCACAAATGTTAACTGGACCATAGCATCTGTAACAGCATGCTCAATCTTAAATTTCTTGTTACCATGGCAACAGGGGAACGTCTCAAAATTGCCAAAAATGACTTTTTTCCCATCAAAACTGATTTCAATGTGCTGCAACGTCTCAATGGATTGAGATGGAGTAAAAGGCTTTTTAGCTTTGGTTACATGTTACCTAACGATCGACCTGAGGCCATTTTTAGCCTGTCACATGTTCAAAATTTTCTTTGCGATGAAAAGAATCAATCAAATCCATTATATAAATATCAAAGTTACTACAATCAAGTAAATTTCAATAATTTGACCATGTCAGAATAATTCAATATTTCGGTTTTGTCATGTGTTCTTTTGTTCGAGTATGAATCAAATCTATAAATAAATAACAAAGTTATGACAATTTAAGCAAATTTCAATAATTTCACTTTTATGGTCAAGGTCAAATCAAAGTAAAGATCATATTTGAATTATTCAACACGGGGTTTCCTCGTAAGGGCTCTTTTGTTCAAGTATAATAAAATCCATAAATTATGACAAATTGTAGCAAAATTCATTAATAAGACCTTATGTGTCGAGGTCAAATTACGGTCAAGATCAAGTTCAATTAAATCATCGTTAATGTCTCGTCCCAAGAATGCTTGTGCATTCGTATGAAGATAATACATTTATTAATTATAAAGTTATAGCCAATTACAGCAAAAATACAACTGTAAAATTTCAATAATCTCACCATCAAGGTAAAATTTATTTATATGTCAAGGTCAAATTAAGTTTGCTGTTTATAAGACATAGTCCGAATGGTAGTTATGCTCAAGTATGAAGACAATCCATCCTTGCATATCAAAGTTACAGCCAAATATAGCAAAAATTAAGAAAAATTCATTAATTTGACGATCATTGACGAGTTAAGGTCATATTAATCTTAATCTTCTTCAAGGTCGTGTCCAAAGAATTGTTGTGTCCAAGTATGAAGACAATCAATTTATAAATAACAAAGTTATAGCCAATAAAAGCATATTTGACCTTGAAGGTAAAGTTCAGTCTGCTTACTTGAAGGTCTTGTCCAAAGGGTTGTTTTGTTCAAGTATAAAGACAATAGAAATACAAAAATAATGGCAAATGTTATAAGTTTCTGGACAGCAACGGGAACAACAACCTTACTGTTGCAATAGCCTGAAATATTTCTTCAAAAAAGTCTAGCTAAATATATATATGTATAAATATATATTTATACATGTATATAGAAAGAATTTATTAAAGAAATACAGATTTTTCAATGAGATCATTTCTGTATAAATACATGTTTACCAACAATTACCTTTTGACTGCTTAAATGGATAATACAGGTTTACCTTTTTTTATCAAACAACAAAAGATCCTCTCAAAATCCAATGGCTTCATAAACAATATGTTGTCTTAAGCTATAAAAGCAAGTAAGGTCATAGTTTTGATATGTATTTATTTAAGCTTGAATGTCAGCAAAGTTTTACAACATAATCACTTGCTTCCTTGACTAACTAATGCCCAAAATATAGTTGTGTACCTATAGTGACAATAAATGCCACCCTGGTTGGAGATACAATCATTTCATACACTAGGCCTCTTTCCAATAAATAATTATACAATGTGCATAGTAATTTACCTATCTTTTCTAAAAAAATTCATTCAGCACTTTGGCTTTTCAACTGTAATAAATATTTTAACAATTATCTTTGTTTGAAAATAAATGACAATTTCTTTTCATTTTACTTGTACGATTATAAAGTATCAAAATTTACTATTTTCAGATATTTCTCAATATCTCCGATACATTTAACATAAAACAAATGGAAATCTTTAATCAAAACAACAAACAAGCACTAAGTAAAATAACCATCTCGATTATCACAGTACATAAAATCACAGCTGATCCATGTCTTGGTCCAGTTCAGTCAAAACAATAGTTGGTACCTTGTTTGTAATGCCTCGTCTTTCCTGCTCTGTAAAGATAATATGACCAAAATTGTTGCCAAACTCTCCTTTCAGTCGATCTTGCTCCTCACCAACATCAGGCAGGTAACAGTCTCGTGGGTATGACATACATATATACTGTAAATGTTCGAGTCCTGCTACAGCCATGCCCAGCTCATGTAGCTTCTCCGACAACAAGGAGTTGCCTGATATGTTCAAATACATGAGCGACGGTAACAGTTTCAGTGAAATGTTCAACGAATCCAAATTATTATCGGATATTGATGTGTCCTCTAGTTCTAGCACACGCACCTGCGTCTGTATATTTCGTAACAGATGTAACACTGTGCCAAAGTTCAAACCAAGACCATTTTCACTGACGTCAAGCTCCTGCAAACCCTGCGTGTGATGCGACATTGATAAATATGTCAAGTCAGTCAAAGCCAATCCGCAGCCAGCGAGTTTAAGATATTGTAACGGTTTTTCGATGGCTGACAACACACGCCGCAACTTTGATTTAATCCTGTTATTACTGAGATCAAGACGTACAAGGTTTTTCAAACTCGTGAAAAGTTTTGTCATCTCATCACACGCAGTGTCATTCTGGAATATGTTAATGGTGTTGCATGAAAGATCTAAGGATGTGATGTTTGTAAATGTTGATATGAGTGGACAAAGCCTGATAAAATCCATGGAACTGAGGGAGTTGTACTTCAATCTTAGTCCATATAAATGCTGCAAAAGAGTACATAGAATAATCACATAAAAATTGAATACTATAATTATCTTTAGAGCCATCTTCAGATGGCCTACCCATTAACGGTTATGATGTTATATTACATGTTAATCAACCGTGGTATCCAATGATGCTTAGAATAAGATAACAAAATCTAATTCATTAACTTGAAATTTCCATTCAAGTAAAATACAAAGTAATGTTCACTAATACCATAATACATATATAAAGCTTTCTAAGCTTTCTATTGGGAGGGTTTTTTTTAATACCTGTACTTACTAGACAGCTGGATTTTGAATTGGTCCAGGAGCAATAACTACTCAAACACTTTGAACAGAAAAGGACAATGTTCTTCTACCATTTTAGCTCAAACATAAGACATAAGTGGTGTGATATACTTAAACATTATCCTACTGGGAACTATAAATGATTAGCATTTGCCACCAGTATAGAGCAAGGTCGGTGGTAGTAAAATTTGTTTCTTACATATTAAAAGGAGTGCAAATCCACTACATAAATTCAGCTGGTTAAGAATTAAGAATGATGTATCAAGTCATGGTTAGAAACAGTACTTAATCTCTCCATAAATGGCTAAATAATGTCTATTTATGGTTCAAAAATAAGCCAAACTAGGTATCCATCAAATAATACTGTCCTCATTACAATGATTACTCATTCAATTAAATTTTTTATCATTTTGTATTTTTCTTTCTTCATTATTGCTCCTTTAAAGGGACTCAACTAAAGTCTTTTCACATAATGGGACTGGAAATATTTTTCCAAGATTTGTACCATTTGATGATGGTCTAAACCAATAACTTGTGTGCAAATTTTCAGACCATTCCCCTGCCCCGTTTTTCCAGACTAATCATTTTTATTGTGCAAAATAACCGACAAATGAAAAACAATCTAATTGGGCTAAGATTTGCACTATTGATTTTCAATATAATTTTGAGTTTTTTCTTTATTTGCAGATTTTTCTAATTTACGGGCTTCATTTAAAGCTACATTAAATAAATTTCATAAAAATTAAATAGCGACATTTCATTAATAAATTGGGTTTTATATCAACTCCAGGTCTTATTTTGGTGTCCAGACAACCAAAATGAGTTTTATTAGCATAAAAATGGGTAACCTCATTGTGGCGAAATGGGATATACAATCTCTGTTTGCATGAAAAACTCCGCCTTCGGATCAGCCGTACATCAATATTAAATTAACAAACATGACTATAAGTATCAGTCCTAATTTAACGGTATATTTCCGCATTGTAACGGATGTTTTCATACAAATTTAATCTTTTTACGAGATGATTACTTTGCACCGTGAAGTTAAAACCGTTTAAGTGTGTTTGCACTAGAAAATATCATATTTGCTGTGCTCCGGATAGTAACTATTAAACTGTGACGTAGCGCATACACAAGCTGATTATATAGTCTTCATTTGCATGTTAAAATTCCTATACGAACTTTAGTGTTACCATGGGGTTTTTTTTGTTTAAAATCCTAATTTATGAACAATTTTTTACGAGATTTACAACAATACTGTTAAACAGGTTAATGAAACTGTACAATGTTTGATTTTTAGGCCAACGGCACATTTTTTTTTTTACATATTTATTAAAATGTAGCTTTAACTGTGTAAAAATTCAAATTTTATGGTTTTAGGCTTTTTGACCTTAGTGTAATCTAAAAGTTGTTTCAAAATAACATTTAATTTAATTACTAGCAGGCAGCACACAAACAGAGTAATCCCTTTTAATCCTTTACTAAGTTTAGTCTGAATGCCTCAGAACAAAAGTTTTCTTATCTTATCATTAATTTACATTCAGATTTACCCCTTATCACCAACTCTTAATTTTTTAAGTTTGTTTCCTATAAAGATTCTAACCAGCTCAGAAATTAAACTTTATCTCAAAATAAAAGTTTCCTTCATTAACTGTAATATATAATTGTAAAGAAATAACGATAACAAAGCAATAAGGGATAATTCTTTAGCAATGTCTGACAATCCAAGACAGTAAAAAAGAAAGTCACCTCTGGGTTGATTTGTTCCAGGAGAATTGCCACCTTTGGTTGGCCAAGACAAGTCACATCAAGTTTATCAACTATCAACCTTAATGTGCTCTCTCTAAATCCAGAAACCTTCAAGGCCTTGCACACTTCATACAGGGCTGGTTCAGAAGAAACAAACAAGTCCAACTTCACAGCAACTGAAATAAAATATACAATCATTATTATATGTTTTTGCTTATAATCAGGGATTCTATAAGAAAATGTTCATTTTTCAAACCTATAAATCAGAAATTTTGAGTGCTGATAAATTGTTTAACTTTTTTTCTGGCTTGGGAAGAAAACCTGTACCATTACATTTTAACTAATAATGAAAAATTATGAGTCATGTATGCTTTTCCCATTCGATGAAACCCTAAGTCAGTCACAGTAAAGTACAGGCCTTATATTTTTTGAAACAGAAAGAGCATTAATGCCATTATAATGAGTAAAATATCTTATATGAAACTTTTACTGGATATGTCTAATTTAAGTAAAAGAGCGAATAAACTGTACTGGAAACTGTATTGGAAGCTGTATTCCCTATAATAGCTAAAGTAAAGTTTGTCTTTTCTTAAAAAAACTGCCAGTTTTTTTAATGTCACTTTATACTTACATAGTGACCACCTATATGTGTATAAGTTTAAACATAACATATCTACTTTGTATGAAGTCAAAACATGTTTATTTCATATCTATTAAGAGACTGTGTCGCAATCATCAATACTTTTTTAATATCAAATTTGAGCATAGTATATCTTTAATTATTCATGAATCTTATGTAATGCATCATTAAAAACATATTTTTCTACTTTTATAATAAGTCAAAAGTCTCAACTTTTCTGTTTAGTGCATGATTTACCATAACTTTAATGTGACATTTTAATGTCAAAATGAAAAAGGAAACTAGACTTACAATAATCATCTGGCAGTGACTGGTCTGTTGTGAATCTTTCTAACTTATCATGAGCTTCCTCCTCTGGTAGCAGTTTAACAGCCTCCTCGTATTTCTTTATCATTAGATTTTGCCGAGCCTCATTGTGCGCCAACATACAGTGAGTGGCTAAGTAGTAGGCAATCACTTCAGCTAAATTGATAAATTACACAATATTAATTAATTATCTGAAATTAAACTCATACAACATTAAAATTTTAACATTTATCACGCTAAATTTGTTTAATAGACTTGGTTGGTTTGATTAAGGAACCAAAAAAAAAAAGATTTCAGAATCAAAATTCTGAAAATTAACTGCCAACAGTATAGACATAATAGTGCCCGGTAGAATAGGTATAATAGACAGATAGAATAAATAATATATATTATTGCTGGTTTTTAGAAAATATATATACATTTTGAAAAATAACACACCTTTTAAGATAAATATCAATTTCAAAAGTTATCAAGTTAAGTTACCATAAGAAACTGTTTATATGATAAGCCTAAAAGTTATCATTAACTTATATCATAGAGCAACAAAAATCTCCTATACAAAAAAGTACACAATATCGAATTCACAATTATCTTACCTGTTGGATATCCTGTTAAATCTACAAATTTCAATTTTGTTTTGCATTTCTTCTTCAAGGTCTCCAGGAAGTTATGAGCCACACAGGTGGTGTACCTAAGTCCCTGCTTTGCTACTCTAGTCAGATCTACATGATCATGTAGTACACTGAGTTTGGTGAATATTTCGGGCGCAAACTTTTTCAAACTGAGAGTCTGAAGTGGCCATTTGGTGAGAAGAACATCCACAGCTCTGTCTTTGTTTCCTTCTAGAGCCTGCTGCATTAAGACAGTACATAGTTCTTGTGGTAAAATATTCACCGCATTCATAGTTGTAGTAGAATCCTGTACAATATGATCAGCTGAAAGCTGCAACAATGATTTCACCTCTGGAGGTTTCTGTGAGCTGGTTTGACATAATTCTAGGTTCAAAGGGTAAAGTGCTCCCCGAAAATGGTCATACCACTGTGCAGACTGCATACCGGCCAAAATCTGATGAAGATTTGAAGACATGTTTCCAGCACACTAATTTACTAAAGCCATCTTTCAACCAGTTCTAAAAATTCAAAAATGAAGGTGAAAATGACTGCAACAGAAACAAGCACATACATGTACATGTAAATGTTTATTTTATCATTTTAATGTCTATTTAAATTTCAAAGCTTAACTTATCTCATTGTGTGAAAAATGATGGGCACTAAAGTTAATGCTAGAACTCATATTATTGCAAATTACAGTAATTAACAAGTTGTTTACTTGGTAATGTTGCCACTGTGGGAAAAAATGTTTGTTTTCCACTTCTGATCCATACTTTTATAGGTTCTGACCTCTGACCCATACTTTTATGGGTTGGGTCAGTCCAAATATTTTGACTAAATAGAATTCAAACCCCTACAATTGGAAATGCAGCATGTTTATCACAAATATAACCAAATTTTCTGCAATTTTACATGCAAGGTACCTAGCAGAAGCTATAATCAGCTAGACTTTAGAATATGTCCGCAGCTGTTTTTAACATTTTACACAAAATTATTTAATCAGTATTTATCAGTTTATGTTTCACTAAACATCACTCAATTTACTTCTAGGGTTATGGTTAGGGTTATGGGTAAGGGTTATTGTTATTGGTTAGGGTTTGAGGGTCAGGATTATAATACAAAAATTTTGCAGCGGACAGATTCTACGCTATAATCAATACTATATATAGTGACTGTGAATTTCTGTCTCTCATTTCATTAAATTTATCAATAATCTGATCTCAGTCGGAGCTATATCATGGAATAGACCCCCCTGTCTAAATCAGGAGTCAGGTTCAATTCCTTTTCTTTAGTGTATTATAAACAGGTGTTACTTCTTAAATATACATATGGGTCTATAATCCAGGAGATTACAGGTGTTACTTCTTAAACAGGCTGGTGAAAATGACAGTTACCAAATATTTTTCTTTCTGTTTACAGGGGCGTAGCCAGCTTTTTTCAACTTGTAGGCACATAAAAGGGGGTCTGGGGGCTTAGCCCCCGGAAGCCAAAAACAAGTTCAGATTAAAAAGAACAAAATGCACGTTCCAAAGTATGTTCAAGGAAAATTATCAAAACAATAATTTTAAACTATGAATTTGATTAGATGCATACTTTATTGAGGATGGTAAATCATGCGCACACACTTGATTTGACTATACGGTTTGAACTCACTACCTACTCTACTCTCGCCTGTTTTATTATATTTTGAGACTTTTGAAAATGTTAATTTCTTGACCAACTTGTAGGCCCGTGCCTACATGGCCTATTAGTAGCTACGCCACTGGTTTATGTTATACATTATGCTCAATAAACAAACAAAGTTTAAAAGAAATCTCTTCATTATTTTTCTAGAAATATGATTTTTTATGTCATAAGCCCGATGAGGCATTTTCATCTGCCTGTTAAATATACATATGGGTCTAAAATCCAGGAGATTGCCCAGTGACAAATCATCAAATGAACATAATTTATCTATCACTTGTAATTTTAGAAATTCTTTATTGTCAAAGACATTAGAAATTTAAAAAATTGTTTATAACATAATTCTATTTCTACTTTACTATTAATCAAACAAAGAAATAAAAAGTTATATACATCGCGAAATCTGATTGCGTTTGTGAATACCCGGTGTCGAGTCACTTTTCTAACTCGAAGGAAAAAGAACAAAAATTAAACTCAACATGAAACTGAAAGAGAAAGAAATCAAAGTAATCGGTACTGAACTGTTCAAGATAAAAACCTCTTACAAGTTCAATTGTTTACGACTTGGGACAGCCTTCAAGTAATTTAATACGTAATTTACTTTCATCCAAAAAATTGTTTTCTCTCAACCGGTGTAGATGTAAAATTACCGAGGAAATTTAATCCTACCCCGTGTAGATTCACCTATCATCATTCTAGTGATTGACTAATCACGTGTTGTAACTTAAACGCATATTATGCCTCAGAAACGAAAAATGACAAGATGTAACTTAAAGGCACATTAACTTATGCCTCAGAATAATGGTTGTAATGAGAGTAATTTTTTTTCCATTTTATAGTCAATCCATTATCAAGAAAGACACTTCAGGTAAGTATTTTTCAGGTAGTTTTTTCAGAAAATTCTAAATTTCCAACCGAAAAAAAGTGAAATTCTTGATATCAAAACTGACAAATCTGCAGGAGTTCATTCTAGTATGGTATCAAACACATGTTTCCATACATTTTATTGTCAAATTTAAATGACTATATTTTTTAATTATGCTTAAAACGATATTTGCATTGGCTGGAATAAACAATTTTGCACAATTTAAAATACTATGCCAAAAGAGCATGAAGGAGAATCTAAAAGGTACCAAATATTTTTCCCAATTAAGTAATTTTACAACTCAATATTTCAATAACATACTTTTTCCGAAATGGCTCTATGAAAAGGCCTGTGTTGTTTTTCCCTGGATCTTTATAATAGTAAGTTATGGAATGATATTTTTTTTCTTTTATTTTTAGAAAGGATTTACAAGGATTGATTGTTGGGGGTGAAGATGGAATCATCAGAATTTATGACATGTCGTCTAACATTGAGACCAAAAACCCAAAGGTTCACAAATGAGCCGCGTCATGACAAAACCAACATAATGGGTTTGCGACCAGCATGGATCCAGACCAGCCTGCGCATCCGCGCAGTCTGATCAGGATCCATGCTGTTTGCTATCAGTTTCTCTACTTGTTATAGCATGTTTGTAAGCGAACAGCATGGGTCTGGATCCATGCTGGTCGCAAATGCACTATGTTGGTTTTGTCATGACGCGGCTCAAATATTCTTTGAACTCTATACATCAATAAGCAATATATAAAATTATAGAAACATGTTAAATATAAGACCTTTGAACTATTTTAGTTTATTAAAATGTCTCTATCTTTTCGGAAATCATAACATCAAGGTTATTAATGATAGTACATGTACTATGTTATTTGGAAAAACTCGGCATAAGTTCCAGTCAAGTTAATAAAGATATCAATACTAGATCCGAGACAAATTTGCTGTGTGGGTTCAAACCCTGTTAGGGGCAAGTCATTGTTTCTTTGAACAAGAAACTTTACATTAATTGCTCAGGACTGATATGTCCCAGAAACTGGTTCAACTGTTTAATAAGCTAATAGCTTCCGACACAATCAAACTAAAATAAATTGGTATAAACTAAGACCGAATTAAAACAAAAAAAAGAGAAAAATTTGTTTTAATTTCTTACCAGATAGAATTGTGTATGCAGGCATGATACAATACATATTCATTATTCAGATTCTACTGGAGACAAAAGGTGGACCAATTCAAACAATGGCTGTACATGATGTGACAAAATTTTATAATGATGATTTGGTAACTGGAGATTCTGTCGGCATGGTTACCATTTTCTGCAATCAACAAATTCTATGTAGACACAGTTTAGCAAAGGACAGCATAAAATGTCTTCAAATACACAAAGACCAATGTATGTAAACCTTACTTTAACATTGTTTTAGTTTTTTAACCAGAGCCTTGGCATGTAATGCAAGCATCTATGTTATACTGATATATGTTTATACATGGATGCATGTAATAAAGGCATTTTTTATTAAAATATGTTAATTAAAAGTACAAAATTCAGTTATTTTGATACAAATGATGTGTTTGTTAATAATTAAAGCAATTACTAAATGTAATTTCTTTATAAAAAATACATACTACATACTAGCTATTAAAATTGAGAAATTGGAGACCAAAAACGAACCTTTTTATTTTATATAAACATATTTATTATATAATAAATATGAAGGATGATTAAAGCTTGTTTAACCAACTGGAGTCCACTTCCTGGCACTTACCAGTACTGGTGTGTCATATGAGGAGACATAGTCATGGTCCCAGTAAGGTTTGAACCCATGCAGGGTTCGTACAGTCTTAAAAAGTGCTTAAATTTGAGTCCCATTCTTAAAATGTGCTTGAAAATGTAAAAAAGTGCTTAAAAGTCCTTGAATTTGCTTACTGTCTTGAAAAGTGCTTAAAAAGTGCTTAAATTTGCTGGAAATATGCTTGAAAATGATTGAATGACATAGTGTCAATAAAAATCAACAGTAAACAAAATCAAAAGAATGATCCAATTAAGGATCAAAATCAATGAAATGTTTGCTCAACATAACAGTAAGTCAGGACAAGTTATAGTTGTTTTGAACTAATCTGTATTTGATGCGCCCTTTGTTGTTCTATAAAATCTTTAAAATTATGGCCAGAAAATGTGCATTCAACATAAAATGGCAAATAAACTATACTTCTTACATTGAAGATTGTATCGATATATGTGTAACAAATGTGCTTGAAAAATGGGAAAACGTGCTTGAATAGTGCTTAAAAAGTCCTTGAATTTTGGCATTGAATGTCTGTATGAACCCTGCCATGATCACTGGCTTAAGAGGCAGGCACATTAATCTCAAGGCCACAGACAACATGCTTCCCTTTTGCATTTTGTTCTTTAATTTCTAATGCAGATTTGAAGATATTCAATGAGGAGACCTTTTTGAAAACTAAATTTCTTTATTACATTGCAAATTCTGCAAAGTGACAGTCTGTAGAATATGTTGACCAATAACCTGTTTATAATAATTGTATTATTCTTCCCAAAGTTACACTTCAGAATAGATTTTTAGCTCGACTATTCGAAGAATATGAGAGCTATTGTAGTCGCCCCGGCGTCGGCGTCGGCGTCCGCGTCCGCGTCGGCGTCTGCGTTGGTTAAAGTTTTTTGTAAAGTCAAATATCTCAATTATTACTTGAGATATTCAATTGAAACTTACAATACTTATTTATAGTAACAAGGTACATCAGATTGACAAGTTTGATAACTCTGCCTACAATATTGACAGAATTATGCCCCTTTTTAACTTAGAAATTTTGGTTAAAGTTTTTTGTAAAGTCAAATATCTCAATTATTGCTTGAGATATTCAATTGAAACTTACAATACTTATTTATAGTAACAAGGTACATCAGATTGACAAGTTTGATAACTCTGCCTACAATATTGACAGAATTATGCCCCTTTTTAACTTAGAAATTTTGGTTAAAGTTTTTTGTAAAGTCAAATATCTCAATTATTGCTTGAGATATTCAATTGACACTTACAATACTTATTTATAGTAACAAGGTACATCAGATAGACAAGTTGGATAACTCTGCCTACAATATTGACAGAATTATGCCCCTTTTTAACTTAGAAATTTTGGTTAAAGTTTTTTGTAAAGTCAAATATCTCAATTATTGCTTGAGATATTCAATTTAAACTTACAATACTTATTTATAGTAACAAGGTACATCAGATTGACAAGTGGGATAACTCTGCCTACAATATTTACATAATTATGCCCCTTTTTAACTTAGAAATTTTGGTTAAAGTTTTTTGTAAAGTCAAATATCTCAATTATTGCTTGAGATATTCAATTGACACTTACAATACTTATTTATAGTAACAAGGTACATCAGATTGACAAGTGGGATAACTCTGCCTACAATATTGACAGAATTATGCTCCTTTGGAACTTAGAAATTTTTGTTAAAGTTTTTTTGTAAAGTCAAATATCTCAATTATTGCTTGAGATATTCAATTGAAATTTAAAATACTTTTTTGTTGTAACAATGTACATCAGTGTGCAAAATTGCATAACTCTGCCTGCAATATTTGCAGAATTATTTGCCCCTTTGAAACTTAGTAATTTTGGTTAAAGGTTAAAGGTATTCAAAGATATTTACTTGAAACTTTACACATGCACTTCGGGTCATAATTGGAGGGTCATAATTGTATGTCACTGACCAAGTTCCATAACTCTATCTTGCATTAAGGCTGATTCATATCCCCTTTTCTACTTAATGTTTACATGCAAGTTTTACATATCTCAATAACTATTAAAGATATTTATTTAAAACTTCACATATGCATTTAGGGTTATAATTGTAGGTCACTGACAAAGATCCATAATTCTATCTTGCATTTAGGCTGATTTTTCTCCCCTTTTTCAACTTAGAAATTCATGGTAAAGTTTTGTTTGTAAGCTGTTATCTCAATAACTACTGAAGGGTTTGTCACTTTGTGCCTTTTTTGGGACAATTTTATGCATTTATAATAATAAAGCAGTGATTTCTTGATAAAACATCTTAATAACAAGCCTTTGTACCTTGTCTGTCAAATTTATGTATTCATAGGTAATTAGTATTATTATATTCAATAAAACACCCTTGTGACATTACCTTCCGAATAGTCAAGCCAATACTGTATAATTAGACTCTCTCTAAGGCCTATAACATGAATTTATAAAAAAAAATTAGCCCTTTTGTGAACTTAAAAGATTTAACATTATCAAGGCTCTTTTACTATCAAGCACTTAGAATAGTTGAGCGTGCTGTCCTTCCGACAGCTCTTGTTCTTCTCTATAGTCTAAAAAAACACATGTCAGCAACTACCAGTGTGTAATACATGTACATGTATATAAATAATATTATCCAGTGGGTAACTGCAGTATAGTGACAAGTGATGAGTCAGGTTATATATGTGCTACATCACCATCTAAAGAATTATGGAGAATCAATATCAACAACTTACCAACATCTAAGGTATGTACTACTTTGGCATTCCATTTCATTCTTATCAAATTTTTGTTTGAGAAATAATCATAATCCTGTTTTAATACAGGAAAGAAATTGTAAAAAGAATGAAAAAAAAACAAAAAAACTTAAAGTATCATTATAATATACTATTAAAGACAGATTATTGAAGTATGGAAGTGTTTTTAAGCCTTTGTTTCTTTGAGCAAGAAACTTTAGAATCATTGCTTAGTACTGGTTGGTTCCAGGAACAAAATTTGCCATAGTGTGTCTGTTAACTTTAAACCAAACTGAAGGTGAAGAAAATATAATTTTACAGTTCCATTCATGTATCAGAATGCTTATATTTTAATTAGTTTGTAAAAAATTTATTGTTTGATAGGGACCAACAGAAAAATCTGTCGTAACATGTTTATTGTCAACTGACCTCGTGACCCCTACAGGAGAGAAATGTAGTTATATATTAGCAGCAGACGACAATAAACACCTGCATTTTGTTCACCAGGGAGAGGTTGTGATGACACTAAATACTCCAGAAATAATAACAGCTGTAAGTTACATCTATTTAGATATTTCATGAAACTCTTAGAAAACTTACAAAATAATTCATTTAAAATAATAATTACAGGTACTGGGTTTTTGACAGTCAGGTGTAAACTCTGCTGAAAATTTTGAACAGGGAAGCAAATTTGTCGAAAATTTTATGAAAAAACTCCAGCATATACAAGTTACTCCTGGTTTGAATGCTTGGAGGGGTCTATTAATTAAGAAAAATTGGACACACACTGTCAATGGACAGCACATGATTGCTCATCAGTTTGAAGTAGCTTTAAATCAATTATTATAAAATATATCATTCACCCAATCCATCTTTTCATTTTCTCACATTGTAATTTTCTAAAACCTTAATAAAAAGAAATATATAAACCCTTAACCTGCTGCAACTGATAATAATTAGTCTTTGTCCACCTGTATATAACCAGGCCAGCTTGCACATCCGTGTAGTCTAAGATGTATACTGTTTGTAGCACAATATTTGTATTTTGATTTTCTTAAGATTCAAGTGGACTGTTTCAATATCATGGACAGACAAAATCCACTAAAAATTCAGCAGGTTAATAGTTAATATATTTGTACTACATACTGTTATTCATATCTTGTATATACATGTATGTGTATAATATTACTTAGAGTAATATTGCATACATGTATTAGAAACCGAGAACTGAAATAATTGCCTCGGGTGTTATTTCAGTTCAAGGGTCTTTTATGTGCACTATTATCCTGAGAGACATGTGTTATTTTTTTAATACCGAACCAACATTTTAATGAATTTTTTTTCCGCTAAGCATTATTACTCAGATTCATCATCGATTATGGCCAGGGGAGAGAACAAGAACATTACATTTTTATATAGATTACTTGCCCCTGGGGAATTATTGACCTGTGATAGTCATTTCTCAGATGACATATCGAAATAACATATAGTAAAAAGTTTATGTGAGTTATAATGAAATATAATATAATTCACCATTTAAGAATTTTAACACTGTGTATTTCTTGCTTCAGATGTGCAGTGGTTTGTTTATAGATGCAGACAAGCTAGATTTTGGCCAGGATGCTGGAAATATGAAATCACAATCTCAGGTGGCTCTAGGCTGCAATAATGGTGCAATTTATATATTGCATAACTTCACAGTATGTTTACAGTAAAATCTATGTCATATACAAGTTATTGTGCTGAAGGTTTAGCATGGATGCCTTCATTACTAATACATTGTATTACTAGTAAATTGAGACATTTGAACACATATCTTTGGTAAATGTATGTAAAAATATGTGTTATGTGGTAACAAGGTACCAGGTTACTGATCTGTTTGTAAACTGTTACCACATTTTTTGCACAAATTTACTATTTAAAAAAAAGGACAAGGTATTACTTCTTCTTCTTCATGAGAAACCATTACTAATTTACATGTATTTTTAAAAAGATACTTCTAGATTATGAAAAAGATACTAGTGTAATTTAAGCTGATGGGATTATTGTCTTTTTGGGTACTGGTTGTAGGTCACCCAGGTTCCTTGTAATACTATTTTTTCTGATTACATATATTTAGTCATGTACATGTACTTATTTTATAACATATTTATTCATTATACAACATATGTATTCATATGCTTGTTTTATTAGATATGTATTCATGTACATGTACATGTTTTATCACATATGTATTCATGTGCACATACTTGTTTTATTACATATGTATTCATGTGCATGTACTTATTTTATAACATATATATATACATCTACATGAACTTGTTTTAGTAAATGTGTATTAATGTACTTGTTTTATTACATATTTTATTTATTCATGTACATGTACTTGTTTTATAACTTATGTTTGCATCTACATGTACTTGATTACATATGTATTCATGTGCACATACTTGTTTTATTACATATGTATTCATGTACACATGCTTGTTTTAATAGATCAGTGAGGAGGAGTTTGGAAATGCCAAGTATCATATCACCCATTTAATCCCACACCAAAGTGTGAATCTCAAAGTTGACTTATTACTGTGTGCTGGACACTTCAATGCTCTACATATATATCATGAAGGAAAGGTAAGGTTTTACCACTAAATTTGTATAATGGACTTGTCCAGCTTTGAAATTTACAATTTCACTTTAAGTTTACTTTTAATCTGCTGATTTTCTTTAATGGGCTTCTCTTTGGGAACCATCCATTATCATTAATGTGAAAATTGAAATTTAATCAGCCATCAGTATAAAGCCTATCAGAGTGCACATTTGTGCTTGCTGGCCTAGCCCTGTGCTGGTGTCAAAGGTCAATTACTTTTGGTTCCCCTAGGATAAAAGAAACAGTGTGTATTGAGGTTGCGTGAAAATAACTCTCGAGATTTTCTTGACTTGATGGGACTGGAAATTTGAGTATCATTCAAAATAGATCTGGACCAATAACTTATGTGCAAAATTTCAGGCGATTCACTCACTCTGTTTTTCCAGAATAATCATTTTAATTGATAGTGCAAAATGACCAAATTAAGCTTTTTACTATTGGGCTAAAAATCGCACACAGTAAATTTTCAATTTAATTTGAAGCATTTCTTTGTTACTGTTAGAATATTGTTCTGTTTTAGGTGCCTCAGTTGACCTTTGTAGGAATTTCATTTTTCCTACCTGCATATCCCTACTGGGTCTGAAAAAATACTTACATGTTGTTGGAAAGTCGATGTATCCATATACCAATAAAGTTAGTCTTCAAGTTAAACTAATGAAAATTGATAAAAAATTTATTAAACAAATGTTAATGAATTTACGATCTTCTTTCTATATTTCAGAAGGTGGGCAGCTATGAAACACCAGAGTGGATAAACTCTATGGATTTGTCATTAGGTGACAAAGACAAAAAGCCTGAAATTGTAGTGGGTTGTTCTGATAATTCAATTACTGGAATAAATTTGTTTGAAACTTGATTCAATGTGGTTATATTTCAAATCCTTGATTATTTAGTTCTAGATATTTTTCTAGTCCATAGGAATCATCGATTTAGATCTATTGATATTTTTTCAGTCCTTGGGATCATTAATTATTTAGTTCTACAGATATTTTTCTAGTCCTTGTGGATCATTGATTATTTAGTTCTTAGTCCTTGTGGATCATTGATTATTTAGTTCTTAGTCCTTGGGGATCATAGATTATTTAGTTCTATTGATATTTTTTCAGTCCTTGGGATCATTAATTATTTAGTTCTACAGATATTTTTCTAGTCCTTGTGGATCATTGATTATTTAGTTCTTAGTCCTTGGGGATCATAGATTATTTGGTTCTATAGATATTTTTTCTAGTCCTTGGGGATCATTAATTATTTAGTTCTACAGATATTTTTCTAGTCCTTGGGGATCATTGATTATTTAGTTCTATAAATATTTTTTCAGTCCTTGGGGATCAGATTATTTGGATTATAGATATTTTTTATAGTCCTTGTGGATCATAGATTATTTAGTTCTATAGTCCTTAGGGATCATTGATTATTTAGTTCCCTAGATATTTTACTAGTCCTTGGGGATCGTTGATTATTTAATTCTATAAATATTGTTCTAGTCTTTCGTGAAATTTAAGGTCACCAGAGCTAAATATTGACTTATTCTTCTGCTTGTGAACCAGGTCGCGTTGTAAATCAAGTATTTACCTCTTTTATTTCATGGATGTCAAAATGATAAATAGGATCCAAATTAATTCAGGTCTGAACAATTATGTTTCCAAAAAGAAAAAGAAACTTTTTGTGAAAAATAAAATGTTTTATTTGTAACAAAAAATAGTATCAAATAATACAAAATTGTGCTTTATTGCACATAACAACACCGGCAATAAATTAACATTGTTCCATAAATAGCACCATGCAAATAATAGCTACACAACAAGGATTTCCATAGTGTTACACCTTTGAAGTGGCACACCTCAAATTGAGTAAAAATAACTTTTAGCAAATTTAACTTAAGACAAAAAAATATTTATACTTTAAAAAACGTGTAAATACTCACAATTTATAAAGTGAAAGTTTGAATGAATTGTGCAAAAAAAAGACAGAACTTAGCATTCTTTACATACAACAAATATGTCTCTTTTTAATATTAACAAAACATGAGCACTTTTTTCATATTTATACAAGTTAAAGATTATTTCTGTGGACAGTAAAATTCCACTTAATATAACATTTGACAAAATTTTTACTCCTTTGAATAGTTTTTTTAATAACCAAAAGTCTGCTGGAGTTAAACTTTGTTTTTTTCCTAGTTAAACTAACAACAAGTTTACACTGAACCTTTCCTCAAAATAAAATATTAGATGTATATTCAAATGAAAATATATAAAAAGTTTAATACAGTGCAATGTACTTAACTCGAATCTGACTAGAAATAAGAATGTTAGAGGTTCATTTGTGGACAACCTAACATTTTTGGATTATACTGATGCAAAGGCTTTTAAAACAAATGTCATGAACTGAACATAAATAACATCTACACACTAAATTTCTATTTTTGCATTCTCACTTTCACACAGTCACTAGATACATGTTACAAAGGCCACCCCAGTAAGCAACTATAATCTTTTGTCAGCATTTTGCTTTGATACTTGGTATTTACTCTGTCAATGTTATGACATCTACATAGGCATTAAATGTACAAGTTCTAACAACCATCTCCACAAGCAACTTCCAACTTCTCCATATGAAAGTGTTGGCATTATTTGTAGTCTCATCTGTGATCCAATTTTTTACCTTTTAAAAGTCTCTAGATTCCTTTTACCACAAAACAATACTTAAACATGTATATGTATTAAGAAATTCAAGTACTAGTATTCATTTGATTTCTACAATTCAATTATTTTGTTAATAATAGATCATGTAGCCAAATAATGTACCAGACCTATTTCTATAGTTTACAAGCACACGGTCTGTACCTGCCTTTAAAGTATATGAAGTTGTATATCTGCTGCAAAAAAATTATAGTGTCGATTTTAACAAAGAATACTTCAAAAATGCTTTTAAGAAGCAAATATGGTAGTAAATTGCCTTAGAAATGAATAGCACATGCAAGAAGTTATTGCTAAATGGATAGATCCTACTTAAAATAGCAGAATAATATTTCATTTCAGAACATTTTATTCCATTTAATTACAATATTCATGAGTGTTAAATAACAGAGACATTCTATGTTACAACTCTTTCGAGAATCGACCATAAAATTATGGAAACAATATTGGTTGACAGTTGACATTTTACAGTTGATAAATTTTATAAAAATATTTCATAAGATATAGCTTTATACCCTTTAAATGTCACATTTTTGTTACATTTTTGTTGTTGTTGTTGTTTTTAATTAAAACAGTTCAAACATAATAAAGTATCCCTTGCAACGAACAAAATAACTAATAATTATACAATGTATTAGATTTGCATTTAACATGAACATAAAACAAACAAAAATACAACCATAACAATAAGTGTAATTGCACATCATATAATCCCATAGTGGACTGACAACCACATAGAACTTCCACTATACATAATCAACAAAACACAACAGACCTTCTCTGTGATCCCACTTAATAACATTTAACAATAATGGATTTTCTTGTGATACTCCAAACATTATCTGGATGTTTAGCTAGCTCACCGTTTCAGAATGAGGCTGCCTAAGTCTCAGGCCGGAATCTACTCTTGTAGCAGGGGCAAGTAACTCTGTCTCTTCACTTGCACCAACAGTCTCTGCCTCGTGTACCCTGGTGGATCCAGGCTGTGGATTCACTAGAACAGATGTAAATGCTCTTTTCAAATCAATAACTTTACAGGTTTAAATAACAAATACATATATTTTTGTATATTGGGATCTAGATTACATATTAAGGTTAAGCTAGTTTCAGCGGCAAGAAGATTATCAAAATCTCCCCCAAGCATGACAGTCCCCCACATGGAAACCAACAACCTATAAGCCAGCTTTCTTAACTTTAACAGAATAAAACATCGGTCATTAAAGTCAAAACATCATGCAGAAAATTAGTGATTTTAATTCAGAGACTAACACTTTAGCACCAATGGCCTGTAATTACCAAATCAAAATATGCATTTCATATAAAAAACAACTCGAGTTTTAGCTCAATGAAGGAAGAAAAAACATGAACTGCAAAATATGTTATATTTGATTAATCATTTTGTATGTGCATGTTAAATCATTTTATATATTCCAATGTTTTTTTATGGCAAACTGACTTAATCCTAAAAGCTAGCTTAATTTGATTAAATAATTCCAGTTCTCACTCCACTTGTTATGACATTTCTATATTTAGGGAAACAGCGACAATGAGAAAATTGCTCTATGTAGGGACTGGATGGAAAGAAATTTAAAAGCAAGGAAATCGGTTAATTTTATATTTGTATTTTTTAATAAAAATACTAGAATTTTTTTAAGCAAAGGAGAATAACCTATATTTTTGGGGCTGAGGAACAAAGCAAAGGTATTGTTGCATATTGGCCACAAAAAAGGGCTTATAACCTATATTTTTGGGGTTGAGGAACAAAGCAAAGGTATTGTTGCACATTGGCCACAAAAAAGGGCTTATCACCTTTTGCTGGTTTCTTTGGAGAAGCTGGTTTCCTGTTCCTATACAAATTTATCTTGACCGATTGATTCATGCCATCTTTTTCATGGGGGAACCAGAACTGGTACCAAGACAATAATGCTATGAAACTGAGGAATACAAAATTCCAAGTGATACCAATTACAGCTGATGTAAGTGGCCAATAATATAGAAAATACCTGAAAATACAAGAAATATAATAAAATATTTATTTACACATACAGTTTGTACTGTTACATGTTTGATATATCAAATCATAGTCATGAAATATGCCATCAAACTGACTTTAACTCATACTAAACTAGATATATTAAATGAATTTGTCTATCTTTTAATATCGATTACACCATTCATTATTTATAGGGGAATATTACAAAATATGAACTTACTGAACAGCAAACAGTGCAAACCATCATCAGACGACAAAGATGTACCGGCTGATCTTGGCCTGCGCTGGTTGCATCGGTAGAATCAGATGCCACCAGTAGAATTATGTTATAGTAGTGAATCTTTAAAGCGATATCACCATATTGATTCATTGTCAATACAAGCATAGAAACTTCGAAGAGATGTTGAATTCAACTTTAATTTTTGACATGTCTTTCCTTTCTGGTTCATATTTTGTTTTTCTCATGAATGAGAAGAAATGGGGGGGAAATCTTGTATATTCCTGAATAACAATTCACAGAAATAGGTTTCTTGCATAACAAGAGGGCCATGATGGCCCTGAGGTCGCTCACCTGTATATAGCCCCCCCCCCACCCCCGGGCCAATTTTTACCCAAGGGCTTTTATTTGTTTATTTGAACAGACTTGGTAGACACCCATAAGAAGATGTTTCATGCTAAACATTTAAGTTCTAGCTCATTGGGTTTTTTAAAAGAAGATTTTTAAAGTTTTTACTATACACATATAGTTAAAAACAATGACACCCCTGGGGCAGGGCCAGTTTTGACCCCCGGACTTTTATTTGAACAAACTTTGTAGATATTTACTTAAAGATGTTTCATGCTTACTATCTAAACTCTAGCTATTTGGGTTTTTTCAAAGAAGATTTTTAAGTTTTTGCTATACACATTACGACATATAAGGAAAATCAATGACCCCCCCTCGGGCGGGGCCAGTTTTGACCCCAGGGCTTTTATTTGAACATACTTGGTAGACACCCATTAGAACATGTTTCATGCTAAATATCTTAGCTATAGCTCTTTGAGTTCTTTAAAAGAAGATTTTTTAAGTTTTTACTATTTGCATATAGGGAAAATCAATGACCCCCGGGGCGGGGCCAATTTTGACCCCAGGGCTTTAATTTGAACAAAATTGGTAGACACTCACTAGAAGATGTTTCATGCCAAATATCTTAGCTCTAGCTCTTTGGTTTCTTTAAAAGAAGATTTTTTAAGTTTTTACTATATGTATATAGGGAAAATCAATGACCCCCTGGGGCGGAGCCAATTTTGACCCCAGGGCTTTTATTTGAACAAACTTGGTAGACACTCACTAGAAGATGTTTCATGCCAAATATCTAAGCTCTTGCCTTTACGGTTCTTTAAAAGAAGATTTTTTAAGTTTTTACTATATGCATATAGGGAAAATCAATGACCCCCTGGGGCGGGGCCAATTTTGACCCCAGGGCTTTAATTTGAACAAACTTGGTAGACACTCACTAGAAGATGTTTCATGCCAAATATCTTAGCTCTAGCTCTTTGGGTTCTTTAAAAGAAGATTTTTTAAGTTTTTACTATATGCATATAGGGAAAATCAATGACCCCCTGGGGCGGGGCCAATTTTGACCCCAGGGCTTTTTATTTGAACAAACTTGGTAGACACTCACTAGAAGATGTTTCATGCCATATATCTAAGCTCTAGCTCTTAGGGTTGTTTAAAAGAAGATATTTAAAGATTTTTCTTTCGGTTGCCATGGCAACCAGAGTTCTGCATGGAATTAAATTCTTTGAACAATTTTTAAAGGTGACCACCAAAGGAACATTCCTGTAAAGTTTGGATGAAATTGGCTCAGTGGTTTATGAGGAGATGTCATTTAAAGCAAAAGTTTACGGACGGACGGACGACGGACGGACGACGGACGGACGGACGGACGGACGCCGGACGAAAAGCGATCACAAAAGCTCACCCTGTCACTTTGTGACAGGTGAGCTAAAAAGAAAAAAGTAGACCTTATTCCTGAGAACTGAGCAAATACTTTTAGGACAGCTGTGTATACTTCCACTTTTTTACTCTGGACCTCCACCACAAGGCCTACTGTTGGGTTATACTAGAATAAAAAGATAGAGAAAAAAATCTCAACACAGTCTAAACCAGTCTTAATCTTTCTAATAAATGTACCATGAGTATCTATATAAGATAAATTATCTTTATTTATGTTAAAGTAGTCTTCAAACAATTATAAAATAAATCTTGAAGAATCTTGTTATTATTTTCACTGAAAAAGCATTGATATTAAAAACAGTGATCCCAACAAGACAAGAAAATAATGAAAGATGAATTGTTTTTTTGTGTCCTAAAATTACTTTGCATTCCTATGCCTATGTATACATAAGTTCAATCTTTACTTACATGTTGTTGTTTTTTTTGTTTGTCTTTTTTTACATAATTTTTTTAAAAATGACTTTGTACATTTGTCAAAGTGCTGTTTATCTTAATAAGTGCTAATACAAAACAAAGTTATTTTTCTCTTTGTGTGAAAACTGTTTTTGTTTGATATTTGACACTGATGTGTTTTTATAAAATAACAGTTAATTTGGCAATTTCCATAAATGTTAAGTTTGAACTGTTCTAAACCCTTCACCTAATGGATTTCTTAAATGGACTTTCCAGTTTCCATTTTAGGAAATATCTACTATCAATTTAAAACATATGAAGATAAGAATTTTAAGTTAGTTACAATGAAGCCGACAGTATAGAAGCTTGCCTAGCTCTGGTGTTAAAAGCTTATCACTTTCAGTTCAAGCAGGTTAAATTTAACACCAATATACATGAAAATAGGAGATGTCATTATATACAATTTTAAACTGTCACCACAAAATCTTCATCCGTTTCAATTTATCTTAAGAAAACTTTAATTATCAATATTCTTTAATATTGTGAAACAAATCTTTTACATTACTTAATAAGCTTTTACATTTTCTTGGTCCTGATGAAGGTCAACTACATGAAATAATGACCGAAACTGGTAGTCACTAATAAAATATTGTAAACTTGCTCTGGTGTTGACATGTGTTACTCTTTATTTTGAACTTGCATTGGTTGATTTTTACATAACTTAACTAATTTACATGTTAATTTATGCTTACAGCATTGTCCATGAAGTCTGGAAACAAATCTACATGTAGAAACTGCTTCTGATGCATGTAGCCAAACAAAAATAAGGGCAAAAATGCAAATGTCTCCAAAGTGCGCAGCAGATCCGACTTGTACCTTACTGACGTCTGCAAAAAATTAAAACAAACAGAAGTCATGAACAATTTATTGGCTTTAAAAGGATATTTTAGACAGATTAGTTATATTTGCTTATCTAGTTAATTATAACACATGACTAACTTTATCCAAGTATTAGAAGATGAAGTTTCAACAAACAAAAAAAGAAGTTGCTTTTTTTTCTTTCAATAAAGCTTCACTAGTATATGACAATTTAAAACAGACTCAAGCCTAATAAAAGAGAAACAACTTGTTAGAAATAAGAGGATGTACTTCAATTACTAGTAATTTCAGTTTGGAATTCAAAACTTAAATAAATCTTTATACCAACAGATTTAATAACTATTGTAACCTTATTAAAGCATATGATTCTTCTGAACCCTAAGCCAGCGGAATTTCTTAAATGGACTTTTTCACACTGTGTATTGCCTATTTTGGGGAGATTTGGGGAGAACTAAGATGAAAATTTGAAGTTGGTTTGCCTGTACCATAGAGCTTGGTCAAATTGCATGGATGTGCCGACTGGCCTGGCTCTATACTGATACCAAAGGCTTACTAGTGTAAAGACATTGATCATTTCTTAATTAGACATGTGTTCAGTAGATCATGTACAATGTACAAGTAAAAGAAGAAAATTATACAATTTATGACAAGGTTGGAGAAACTTCATCAAAGGATATTGTTACATCTTTTCAAAACATATGGAAGACAACACTTTGAATCCTTCAAAATAACAGCTTGACTATGCAAGGGTAATGTTAAAGGAGAGGTGAAAATGAAAAACCACTCACAACATATAAAATTCCTTGACGGGCAATTATAAAGAAAAAGAAACGTACACTTACAGCACGTGCTGAGGTTTGAACAACTTCTCCACGCTTGTTATACAACCGCATCTCAATCATAAACATACCTGAATTGATCATGATTTATATTCATATTTATAAATAATCATATACTTTCAATCCAGAAATGTTATATGAGTCGTGCCATAATAAAACCAACATAGTGCGTTTGCGACCACCATGGATCCAGACCAGCCTGCGCATCCGCGCAGTCTGATCAGAATCCATGCTGTTCGCTATCAGTTTCTTTACTTGTAATAGGGTTTGTAAGCGAACAGCATGGATCCTGATCAGACTGCGCAGATGCACATGCTGGTCTGTATCCATGCTGGTAGCAAACCCACTATGTTGGCTTTGTCATGGCGCGGCTCATATTTTCATTTTCCTTTGATTGAGTTTTAGCACACACTGAAAAGTGAGTGAAGGTCATATATAGATTTCTTAGTTTTAATGCTGCCTTTTTGAACATGCAATATCAAATTTAAAAGCAGTATCAGCAAACATAAGAGTATTTATTTTTAGTGAGAATACAAAAATAACAAGTACCTGGTTTTATTAATCAACCAAATACAGTAACAAGAGGGCCATGATGGCCCTGAGGTCGCTCACCTGTATAAAGGCACCCGGAGCGGGGCCAGTTTAAACCCCAGGGCTTTTATTTGAACAAACTTGGAAGACACCCATTAGAGGATGTTTCACGATGTTAAGTTTTTACTACACACATATAATGAAAAACAACGATCTACCCCCCCCCCTCCTTCCGTCCCCACCCCCGGCAGGGCCAATTTTAACCCAAGGGCTTTTATTTGAACAAATTTGGTAGACACCCATAAGAAGATGTTTCATGCTAAACATCTAAGCTCTAGCTCAATGGGTTTTTTTAAAAGAAGATTTTTTTATATTTTTTATTATACACATAAAGTTAAAACCAATTCTGATTCTGATGAAGACAACAGTCGAAACTAGTAAAGATTTTGAAAAAATATGTGTTGTTTTGGTGTATTTTAACTAACAAACTTTGTAGACACTCACTAGAAGATGTTTCATGCTTAATATCTAAACTCCAGCTATTTGGGTTTTTTCAAAGAAGATTTTTTAAGTTTTTGCTATATACATATAAGGAAAATCAATGACCCCCGGGGCGGGGCCAATTTTGACCCCAGGGCTTTTATTTGAACAAACTTGGTAGACACCAATTAGAACATGTTTCATGCTAAATATCTTAGCTCTAGCTCTTTGAGTTCTTAAAAAGAAGATTTTTTAAGTTTTTACTATATGCATATAAGGAAAATCAAAGACCCCCTGGGGCGGGGCTAATTTTGACCAAAGGGCTTTTATTTGAACAAACTTGGTAGACACCCATTAGAACATGTTTCATGCTAAAGATCTTAGCTCTAGCTCTTTGAGTTCTTTAAAAGAAGATTTTTTAAGTTTTTACTATATGCATATAGGGAAAATCAATGACCCCCTGGGGCGGGGCAAATTTTGACCCCAGGGCTTTTATTTGAACAAACTTGGTAGACAGTCATTAGAAGATGTTTCATGCTAAATATCTTAGCTCTAGCTCTTTGGGTTCTTTAAAAGAAGATATTTTAAGTTTTTACTATATGCATATAGGGAAAATCAAAGACCCCCTGGGGCGGGTTCAATTTTAACCCCAGGGCTTTTATTTGAACAAACTTGGTAGACACTCATTAGAAGATGTTTCATGCCAAATATCTAAGCTCTAGCTCTTAGGGTTTTTTAAAAGAAGATATTTAAAGTTTTTTCTTTCGGTTGCCATGGCAACCAGAGTTTTGCATGGAATTAAATTATTTGAACAATTTTTAAAGGTGACCACCAAAGGAACATTCCTGTGAAGTTTGGATGAAATTGGCTTAGTGGTTAATGAGGAGATGTCATTTAAAGTAAAAGTTTACGGCCGGACGCATCTCACTTAGTGACAGGTGAGCTAAAAACTCTGAATACCGGAAAACTCTGAAAACCGGAATCCTCTGAAAACCGGACCATTTTAAAAGTCCCATATTTTCTCCTTATATGTTCATTGAAAAATATCCTCTGAATACTAGAACCTCTAAATTCCGAAAACAGGACGATTTTCTATGGTTTCTAATGCTAAACAATCATAATAAATCCTCTGAAAACCGGACAGCAATTTTAAGCGTCAACTTTCTGTGTATTTTAATGAGGATTAAAACATAATCTCAACTGATGACATGCTCAATTACCAACTTTTTACTTGTCAGTGTGTATTAATTTCTTATTGGCAATTGAATTAAAGCTCATTCATAATAATTGTGTCTGTTCCTGTATAGGTATGCTTTTTCAAATATATGCAAAAGTAGTTATACTAAATTTCCATTAATTACAGATTAATTAAGGATTTGCATAATAAAATTACTTAACTACTAAACAGATATATTTCAGACACTGTGTTGTTTTAATTTCTGATTTTCATGGATTTGCATAATAAAATTACTTAAGACATTTATCGCAAAAAGAAATTCAAATATGACTTTGACAAAAGGGTTGAAAAGTAAATACAAAATGATTGAACAAAGTCATTGTTCAGACGCATCATAATTATCAATAAATGTATAAAACCTCTGAAAAACGGAATCCTCTTAAAAACTGGACTTTTGGTCAAGTCCGGACAGGGTCCGGTTTTCTGAGTTTTTACTGTACAAACAAGCAAGATAGTTTCATCATATGATAGTGTTTATCAACCTTAATTGGCAGGAGTAAAACTGACAACAAAAAAGGAGTAAGTGATTTTATCTAAAAATTCTTGGTTTTTTTTTTGCTTATCACAGGGGTGTTTGTCATGTTTCTAACAATCAGCTGTCTGGTTTTCATATACATTTAAATACTTTCACACAGAAAATTTTATGTTGTCTGGGGATTAAACCAGCTACTCTGAATTACAAATCCAGTGCTTTATTGAGCTCACTGGGCCAATATTTAAATAAGAACCTAAATAGGTGTCCAGAATAAAATGTTAAGATTTGTTTGTAGCTTTTGTTTTATTTTCCTTTTATTTTTATACCATTTCACTTTTATAAATCATTGAAAAATACGCAGAATATTGTGTGTGCATGAGTGTGTTCAAGAGTATACCCACCTATGTTTCTATTGACATCAGACTCTGGTACATCTAGATCAAGAACAATCCTGTATGACTGACCAACATTGAAAACCTGTAAATAAATTACATGCAAAATATGAATTTGTTTCAAGTATACAGCATTATGGACCAATATAAATATTTCAGAAATCAGAAATATTACTTATATGCAAAATATATAATAAGGGACTCCACTGAGGTTTTTTGACATGACAGGACTGGAACTAACTTATTCAGTTTATTACTCCATTTGATGTAGATCTATACTAATAAGGTATGTGCAAAATTTCAGATCATTAGCCCCCTACGTTTGTCTATAATAATTATTATTATAGTGAAAAATGACCCAAAATTGAAAAGCGTTTAAACGCTTTTCACTCAAATTGGACTGAGAATAGCACAAACATATGATTTTCAATGTATTTCTTGTATATTTCTTGGTTATATTTTATTTATATTTCTGTTTTAAGCGCTCGTCTTTATCTTTAGCTTGTGAAAAATTAAAATTTTATGTTTTAGGATTATAATCCTCAGTGGAGTTCCTTTAACTATTGACTCTTCATCTTTAATGACTTTTATTTCAAGTCATCGAAGTATCTTTTCACAATATGCAAAACCAGGACCTTTCAAATATCATTTGAGACTGTAAAACTTGTAAACCATTCAATTTTCTAACACCTAGCCAGCAAGGCAGTGCAGGGGATAGTAGGGTAAAGGAGCATACTTTAACCTCCACTGCCAAGTCAATGCAATAATTGACTTGAACACTAACTTTTTCGTGTTGTTATTTTTTTTTTTTGGGGGGGGGGGGGGGGGCGTAAATATTATTACTTAGGTCATTTATGTGATATTGTTATCCACTTCCATGGTGGAATAACATTTTCTTTGTATTATTTTGAACATAAGTGGTCATTTGTGTAGAACCGGACATTTGAGTTGAACCATCAACCTTCCATAGTCTGGTGAAATTCCGTGAAATAAATTTCTCAAATGAAAGGATTCAATTTCTTTCTGTGGTTAAAAAATGTCTTAATGGAATAGGAAGAAAAATAAAGTATAAACAGCCTCAAGAATTTAAATCAAACCAAAAAAAATATCATGAAAAAGAAAGATGATAATTTTTCAAAATTCAATCCATTATAGAAAAGCACAGCTGCTGTACACACTAAAGGTTTTTCTTGAGAAGAAACAAAACTGAATTTTCAGATAAATTATCATTTTGATTGCATATGATTATTATCTGTGACTTACTTCACAGTAACAACATTTTACTATTCAACCTAGTAGTGGCTTTGTATTCTGAAGCTGTTATAATTTTACTAAATATGAACAACTTATAGATATACATGATTTTAAATCACATTGGCACATTAAGATTATATTAAGACTTATTTGTTTTACTGCCAGAGGGAAACTATACCAGCCTCTCTATGCAATATCCATGGCACCAAGTCACTGTTAAAACAGTTTTCTTGTTAACTAACCAAATAGCTTTCCTATATTCATGAAACAATTTAACGCCCCTTACTGTAAAAGATTCAAGCCCAAATCATTGAAGGCAATACACAGAAATAACTTAGACTAGGATACCTACTTCATTCTTCCCTTCCTTCAAAAGACTTATGTTTGCTATTGGAAATGAACAAAGACCAACTCCAGTCTCACAAACTCTGTAAAAAGGAACAGTATATGCAATTCATAACAAGTAACAATTATGAATACTTGAAATAACACTGTATCACTTGAATAAATAATGCCATGATAAGGCCTTTTTTTTAAAAAAAAAAGAAAAAAGATTCTATTAGGTGAATTTAAAATAATTTTCCTACTAACAAAACACAAGTACAGTGAACATGTTTAAAATGATGCATGGAGATATTGTGCTATTTTGTGTATGTGCAATATCTCCCCTATATGGACGAAGAGGCTAGATTCTGACACCTGAACAAAAATATCTCAGAATCTAGCCTTGGCACACCAAAATAGTTTTACTACTTTCACACCTCTAGCTTTTAATAATATCACTGCATGAGTTATGATATAATTTAGGTGGTAATTAACATTGCAAGACAAATGAACCTGAATCTGTTGATAACTAGAGGAGTAATTGGACTCCAAAAAATTATCTTTCCCTTTCAATACGAGCTATGAAATTATAAAACTGTCCTCAGTTCATTTTGTTTGTAATACATTATGCATTATTTTTAAGCAGAATTATTAATTTAGTATATACAGCGCACTACAGTCACAAAAACATTGACTGTTTCCTGGCATACACTACATTACTTCAGAAAATGAAGCAGTAGAAACTTCATAGTTCATACAATACATACAAGTTTGTAAGATATAGTGTACCTAAAGTGAAAGTAGACTTGTCTTTCTTGTGCTACTTCTGGGACATAGTAGTAATAATAACTTCCATAGAGAAAGACAGAAAACCAAAAAATAACAGTTACTGTTGCAATAAAAACAACGGCTTTCTGTACATATTCACTAAACGATGACAATGTTGTGTCTATCTTTAATTTTATCGAATTGATAAATTTCGGATACTTCATCATTTTTTTTTGTAGCCAGACTGGGTCGGATTGCTTTAAAGCAGAAATGAAGCCAAAGATGAGAAATGATCCTAACGCGGTCCTACGAAACACTAGAAAGTCACACTAAGTCAAGCCAAGGATAGTAAAGTCACTTTAGCGTAACTTTGCAAGTTAAAAAAGAAATGTGTTTTAAGGACATATCTAGTGTAATAAGACATATATGTCATTTTAAACATGTCTTTTTATTATTATTATTATTATTATTATTATTAATTATTATTATTATTATTATTATTATTATTATTATTATTATTATTATTATTATTATTATTATTATTATCTTATTACATTTTTACTCCTGTGTTTGAAGTACTACTGAGTCAGTGTCTTTATATATATATGAAGTCTAGCAAAGTCAGACAAAGTCACTTGTTAATAGATTTTTTTTTTAAATATCAGTGTTTTAGTTAAGATAAATACTGTGCCAACAAAGAACTAGTTTAATACGTCCCCTTGCTAATATCATTCATAGTAAAACATGCTTACTACTCTAAGAAATTGACCATGCAATACTGAAGTATGTATGGACTTAATGTATTGTTTCAAATGATTATTTGTGAATAATATGGGGAAAAAATCAACATGACGAAACTGAAAATGATTTCATTAGTTATTAACATGTTAAATATTAAATGATTGCTGTTTAAATGGGCTTGCAATATTTCGCCAAACTTAAACTGAACCACGACATACTTTCCTTGTCTCAAACATTTTTTTCACAAAATGCACTGATTGTGCAGCATCATTAATTGTTAAGTATTAATTAAAAATTCCAAAGAAAGATACGTATTTAACACCTTTACATCGGAAATGTAGAAACGTGTATTTCTAATTTGGCACAGAAAATGCATCAGAAGCCATCATATCTTATTCAAAGAAAGACTAGTATTTTACGCTCTTCTTGAATATCGTGATGGTAAGAATCCCATACACCAGAGCAATATTCTAAAGTTTGTCTAACAATGCTGATATATGCTGCTGCTTATAAGTACAAGGTTATGAGCATTGTATGTCACATTTTAAGAAGCCTAAGCTCTAACGTATAAACAGCTTTTATTGGTTTGTGATTTCTCGTTGTATGCATGATATGACATTGACTAATGTTAAAAGATATAATGAAAAACTGTCTAAATCTTTCATCTGAATCTGCACTGTGTCAGCCAAACCCGTTACAGATCTGTAAATAACGCAGTCATCTGCAAGAAGAAATTATAATTATTTGACTTCATAAATGCAGGTAGACCATTTATATAAAGCAGAAATAGAAGGGCCGATATATATCCCAAGATGAACGTTATAGTAAAAGTGTCCAGCTGAAGGAGAAGCATTTTCAAGATTTATTCAATACAGTATAAATAATGTCATGGTGCATAAGAACATGTCTATCTATCTATCTTCCATATAGTCAAACCCCTGCTGGGGACCTAGACTTGACGCGCGTCAACTGACAAGAATGTTAGTAAAAGAGTTGAAATAAAAGAATATAAAAGTAAAGGAAATGAGTATATTGTTAAAAACAGGTTAAAAACAGAAAAGGTATTTTAGGGAGACGTATGTTCAATCCGGCTTACAGCCAGACTGAACTCGGGGCCAGACAAGTTTATGATTTCAGGTGGTAAAGCATTCCAGTGGACAATTGTTCTTGGGAAAAATGAATATTTATAGTAATCAGTTTTAGTTTGGACTTGTTGGAATGCATGGAGATGGGATGTTCTAGATGATCTTGTAAGAGGGACGATATACTTTGGGAAAGGAATAGCCACCTGGTCATGCAGGATGTTTTGAAACATGACCAGGCGTTGGTCAATACGCCGAAGGTCAAGGCGCCTCCATTGAAGGGAAGTCAACATGTCAGTGACACTTGACATACGGCCAAAGTCATGTTTGACCCACCTAGCAGCCCTTCTCTGGACTGACTCTATCTGGTCAATGAGAGTTCCTGTGTACGGGGACCAGACCGTGGAGCTGTACTCAAGCTAGGGTCTGACAAGTGTATTGTATGCGGTTGACTTTAACCTTTCTGAGTGAACCTTGATGTTTCGGCGTAGAAAACCAAGTGTTTGATTCGCCTTTGTTGTGATGTTGTTTATGTGTTTGTTCCATGTTAAATCATTTGATATTGTAATGCCAAGGTATTTTGCAGATGGAACTGTTTCTAATGTGGTGTTATGTAGGAGGTATTTTGTTGGAATGACTGTTTTTCGTTTTGTGATTTGGATAACCTGGCATTTTGATGGATTAAATTGCATGTCCCATTTTGTTTCCCATTGTTCAAGTTGGTGTAAGTCATATTGTAGTAAGCTAGAATGAGAAGCGACAGTCAGAGATAGATAGATGGCTGTGTCATCAGCAAATAGGCGGACCTTAGAGGATTGGACATATTCAGGAAGGTCATTTATGTATATAAGAAATAAGAGAGGTCCGAGGACCGAGCCCTGGGGAACACCGGAGGAGACTGGTATGGAGCTGGATGTGGAGCCATTTACCACCACGGACTGTGACCTGTTATCAAGAAAACCTTTGATCCATTTAAGAGTCTGACCCCTTATACCGTAGAAATGCAGCTTATACAGGAGTTTTTCATGGTTGACCATATCAAAGGCCTTAGAGAAGTCAAGAAGGATTAAGTCTACTTGGCTTCTCTGATTTACTGACTGTAGGATATCATCTATAAGCATTAATAATTGGGATTGACATGACCTTTTTTCTCGGAAACCATGCTGCAAATCATAGAACAAGTTTGATCTAGTAAAGTGCTTTGTTATACTGGAGGAGACAATGTGTTCCAGGGTTTTACACAAGATACAGGTAAGAGAGATAGGGCGATAGTTGGCTGGGTCTGACTTGCTACCTTTTTTAAAGACAGGGGCGACATTTGCCATTTTCCAGATGTCTGGTAGAGTGCTGGACTGCAGTGATTTCTGGAAAAGTTTGGACACTATAGGGGCTAATTCTTTACTGGTATTTTTGAGCACAATGGGTCTAATTTGATCAGGTCCTGCAGCCTTATGGGGGTTGAGGTTTTTTAGAAGCTTCTCAACACCTTTTACAGAGATATCAATATCACGCATGGGGTTATGGGGGCTAAATGGTGTGTGGGGAACCTCTCTACCTGTATCTGCCTGATCCTGTACCTTCATATCAGCAAGGAATTTAAGAGAAACAGGGGATTTAGAAGTGAAAACTGATTGAAATTGTTCATTTAGTACTGTTGCCTTGTCTTGATCTGATGTATACAGTTTATTGTGTTTTTTCAGTGAGTCAATGCCAAAAGAATCTTGTTTTGAATGTTTTAATAGTGAATATAGCTTTTTGGTGTTTGGTCTGGTTTGTGTTTGTTCATGTTCTTGAGAGATGTTGTTGTTAATGTTTAGTATATCTTCTAAGTAATTTTGATAGGCTAACTTAGTTTCTTTTCTGCAAAGATGTTTAATACTGAGATATTTTTCTCTAGATTTATTTGAGTTATGGCTCTTGTACTGCTTGTAGGCTTTGTCCCTTTTCCTGTATAAACGTTTGAGGTTGACCTTGATCCAGGGGAGTTTATTTTTGGAGGATGACCATTTTGATGGGATGAAAGTATTGACCCCTTCCTCAATTGAGCTGGAGATTGTTTGCCATAACTCTTCCACTGATTTGTTGGAATAACTTTTTGACCTGGTAAGAGAATCATGAAGGTTGGACATATGTAACCTAAGACCGTCCCAGTCTGCCTTATTATATAAGTGGATTTTACGTGGTTTTTGGAGCTTTATACGGGCGGAGGTATTTGTGTCGACCAGGACAGCATCGTGATCACTGATACCTGGGATTACGTTGGCTCTGTTTACAATGGAGGGGTTATTTGTCAGGAACAGATCTAAGATATGGTTTTCTCGGGTTGGGTCTTCATGTGACATGAAATACAAAATTAATTTGTGAACATGTCACAACCGGAACACAGAAAAATATACATAAAAACAGGAGAATGAGTGACATATTGTACCCGTAAAATGAAATAAAGATATGACTAGATTCTTAATAATAACCGAAATTCATGCTTCATTAACATTTTTTTCTAGAAGACTATATTGATACAATATCATACATGTACTTATTATTTGCATGTTGTAATTACATTTCTTTACAAAACAAAGCAATGCTTTTTAAATGTGGTCTGTTTAACGATTTCGAGACGTTTCTATTAATTGTTGTTAATCAATCAAGCAATATACCATAGTGGGGCCGAAACGTCTCGCGGAAAAGGGCCGAAACGTCCAGGGGCCGATTTTTCGACTGGGGCCGATTTGGTTTGGGGCCGAAACGTCCTGTTTGCGTTTTAACTACTCATTAGATCTTAAAATTTCAATGCATTAAGATACCTATAATAATACGGTTTAATAAATGTACGTCTGTGAACAATAAACGAGATAGTAAAATTCGTCATATACGTAATTAATGCATTAGTTTACTTGGTCCTTGTTTCCAATCTTTAGGTTAGAAAAAAAACATTGCAGTCTGCTTTTTGTCTGTTAATTTCTGCATTTTCTTTGAAATTAAATATTTAACTGTTTATCTCCAAGAATATGATGAAATTTGCGAAAATTATTTGTGTATATTTGTACATATAAAATAAAAATAATAATTTTAATTGTAGAGATAGATATTCGGAAATGTTTTACTTTTTCCGCCATTAATTTTTAAACAACGAAGTTATAACTTTTTTGTGAGCAAAATGTTAAATGGAAATTAGTTTAAGTCGTTTTATTGATTAACACCACAAGGACCAAAGCTTCCTAACTTAAATTTACCGAAGGTATAGAATATTTACTATGAAATTGAAGTGAAGTATTGAATTTTACGATAAAGAATGAAAAGTTCCACTCCCCACCCACTTTCAAGCTTTTGTTAAAATAAACAAACTATCCTCGTGTACATGTCATGTGATTTTTTTATTTTTAAATTTCATTTAGACTATTTACATATTGTAATTATGCTATTTGCGAGTCGTGTCAAACTTGATGATAGTTGCAAATCTTACTTTTTAGATTCTATAATTTGGGAGCTGTGTTAACTCATTTGAGTTACATTTGACTTACCTGAGCTCAGCTGACCCCACTTCCAGCACTTCCTGTGATAAGATGGACGATAGATAAACTTGGCCCTTAGACATCTCACTCCCTCAAAAGTCAACTTATTGGTTATCCCCAATTTCATTTTGTCTAAATATGCCCCAACTAATAAATGACTTTTTTTTTAGATGTCACTGGACGGTACTTCAGGGAAGTACCCAGGTATTACTTCACCAATAAGCCTGGATGGTCCAAAGCCTGTAGATCTGAAACTGTCGGCCAAACTAGAAGAGACAATGAGGCCTTTTGGTGTATTTGAAAGTGATGAGGAGTTAGCTCACAGGTATAGTAGACATTTCAACTTCATCATCAGTCCATGATGCCACATTAACCCTCAATCTGTTGAATATCTTAACTTGTACTGTTGTACAGATTCCATTTTCCAAGCATCCATTAATATGAAATTAGGCAAAGGGAAGTCGTTAAAAAAATTCCTTTCATTCTTTCCGTTTTAAAATTGTCATTCGGTATTACATGCACCGCTTCCGTTTTCACTTGGAACACTTGACGTTTATTATTGATCCGAAAAGTTGAGATTTGTTCCGTTATCGGAATACCCCTCCTTTTATCATTGAGTTACATTGTAAATGGAGGCGCCCGACTAGAACTGACACTGAAAATTTCATTGATAGGTATAGAATTCTATATATTTTTTAATTGTTTTTTATTTGATTTTCTTTTAAATATACACGTGTAGTCTATAGCCGGGCAAGCCAAAGCCCGGTCCCGCTTAGCGGGCCCGGTCTTTGACTTCCCCGTATTAATTTTTGGGATATATATGTATCAAGATGAAAAAATTAAGTTAGTCAAGCCACAGTATTGAGCTTTGTTAGACTGCACTGATGGCAAATGCTAATCACTTGGTTTCAGCAGGTGAGGGTTAAGTAGCTAACATATAAACACCACCAGAAATGATTGAGTCTATTAATTTATTGGCTTCTCAATTCATGAATTTTAGTATTTTGTAATACAAATTCCTTGAATTTATTTAAATTGGATAGAGCAGGGTAAATTCATTGACAAACTTAGCAAGATGAAATGTGAAATGATTTGTCACTATTTAGGTGGTCTCAATTAATAAGGTGATAATCATTGTTGAACAAGTTACACTTTGATCTTCAAACAGTGTTCAAAGTAAAATTTTATATTCAGCATTTATACTTCACATGATAAGTAAGTTAATTGTTATTAGTAACCCTGATTGATAGATAAATCAATGGCTTATCAGCTGGAATTCTGGAGAAAACCACCACCTGTCTTCACTCTTTTAAACATTAAAAATTTATTTCTTGAAAGATTTTTTTAAACTTTACATTAAAAAAAGCATAATAAAATGTTATAGATAGAAACATATTATTTTGTTGAAAATGTATTTAAATTAATGTTTCATATTATCAGAATGGAAGTGCTGAATAAAGTAAACATGCTTGTAAAGGAATGGATCAGAGATGTCAGTAGAAGAAAGGTAAATATTTGTATGAATGATGCATTGCAAACATTGTTACAGTTTATGATGTCAACATTGTAAGAAGTAACCTGTTTCAACTAGCTTAATGTCTCAAATAGCTTCTCAGATTTCCTATGAAGGTCATCCTTTTGGAAAATATAACTGCTATAATAAGCCAGTTTCGTCAATATAGTCTGTTCAGTGCAGTACAATTATTTTTTCAATGTAATTATGGGCTTTTTTTCCTTGCATTTTAGATTTATGTTTATTCATATGCGCATTGTAATCCTTTCTTTACTGCACATTAATGAAATTAATTGATTTGAACATTAAAAATTAAAAATTATTTTTGTGTTGAAAATTATAGAAAATATATGAAAACAGTGTTTCCGGTAATTAAATATGTATTTATACGTAGACAGATTTGACCTTTGTACCATTATGGTAGAAACATGTGTTGATATCTGAATTTTTCTCTCCCTAGAACAATATTCCAGACAATCGAATAGATTCCTTTGGTGGTAAAGTGTGTACATTTGGATCATACAGACTTGGAGTACACAAAAAAGGTAAAAATAACAACAACAATAAAGACCAAATTTTTTCTAGGTCTATACAATTTCTCAGGAAGAATATAGCTATCAGCGTAATCATTGAAATTAAAATAAAGTGTTCATGTCATTTCATTGTTTAAAAGTGATAATAAAATATGAATTTATAAATATAGTAGCATCAAAACAATTTGTAGTATCTTAATTATTATGAAAAGGCATCAGCACTTGATAAAAATGTCCAAATTAAGGCTTTAGACTTTGTGTCATATCATTATGTAATAAACCGTTTAAAACTTATCAACCACAGAAACATCAAATACCATCAGAAACTTTGGATTTTTTTATCAAGCTAGATCAGTGGTTATTCTCAGGTGCATGTTAGTGCCTGAATCAATGCATGATTGGGCGTTTGAATTCTTTCTCCTCAAGTAAAGCTAAAAAATCACCATTTGTGACAAGACAACAAACAAACAAGTAGAGGCTATAAATCTGTCATAAAACTGGAAAGATTTTTGTATGCTTCAGTCAAGAATACACTCGTGGGTCACGATATTGTTAGATGATTTATGTTTTACTTCATTATGTTTGTTACGTACCATTATGTTTGCTACATACTAGGTGCTGATATAGATACATTATGTGTGGCTCCAAGACATGTTGATAGATCAGATTTCTTTTCATCTTTTGTGGAACTTCTTAAAGAACAGCCAGAGGTGAAAGATCTGAGGGTAAGTTCTGATATCAGTTAGTTTTATATACATGTATTGTTTGTACTATTTTTACAGGCATAATTTTTTGTACTCATTTAGAATTCATTGGGTGAATTTTCTATAAGTCTATTCATAATAATTTAGAAGATTTTAGAATTTTATTCAATATTTTTATTTTGTAACTTTCAATTGGGAATTTTTTCCTGTGGATTTGGAGATAATATACTATTTTCAAGTGGGAATATGACACAATAACAGCTATAAAATAAGACAAAAAAATCCCTGAAAGGAGATGTAAATTTTCAGAAATGATATCTCTATATTTATTATAGGCTGTTGAAGAAGCATATGTACCTGTTATCAAGATGACATTTGATGGTATTGAGGTAAAGTAATGTTTCTTTACTTCTAGTTCGACTTTCTTGTTCTCTTAAGCTGAGATTTAAACATTGTTGGATATACTCAAGCCAAAAAAGAATTCTTTAATGTGAATATTTTTGATGGCAAAATCATAATGTTGTTATTGCATATATAAAAAATATAATTATGTTTTTTTATATATGTATATCTTGAAAAGTCATTGTATAATTATAATATTGATGATATACCGTCAAAAGAAAGTTAAAAACATGGTTTTCTATTATGCTTGTTTATATAAAAAGCTGAAATAACTTGTATTACTGTCAGAGAGATGCTTGTTTGTAGCCTATTAAAACACATATAATATAAATTTTATTTTCAAAATAGAAATGATAAATTGTTAATAGTGAGACATAATTAGATTGTAATGTTATTTTCCCAAAATGCTACATATACACTGTTATTATTGTTTCATTTTTCAGCTGAATATATTGTTATATTATTTCAGCTTGATATGTTGTTTTATTATTTCAGCTTGATATGTTGTTTTCTCGGTTAGCGCTGCCAACTATACCAGAGGATATTGATCTCAGAGATGAAGCACTGTTAAAAAATCTTGACCAAAAATGTGTCAGAAGTCTTAATGGTAGGTTATCTTTTGTCCAGCTTGCTTATATATATTAGTAATAGGTCTACCGGTACTAAACGAGTGATTGACTTGTATAAAATGGTCAGTCTTCACAAAATCTCAATCAAAAACATGTCTTGGTGTAATAGTTTGTAGGTTTTATGATTTTCTGAGTTTATTAAAGAGCCTTAGTTTTAGAATGTCTAAATAAATTGCCTCAATTGTTTATCTTTTGAAATTTTCGAAATGACCAGTGGTTTTTTGAAGGGGGAAATATAATGAGATAATGCGACATGGGTGCACATTTAATCAAAGTTTCTATTTAATGCAATTTAATGCGCAAGGCAATCTATAGTGATAGCTTTCAGTTTTCAATTTTTGAAATTTATCTACAAACTGATCAAATTCATCTTTGAAGCCACGGTTCTGATGACAAATGTACATGGTGGCTTTTTAGAGGTAAATATTGCATTTTAAGTGGGAAAAAATAAAGGAAATGGATTGATTTCAATGTAAAATACATGTAAAGATCACTAACCTAATACAATTACTAGTATCATGAAGAAATCAGATTTAAAAAAATGATGTGACATGAGGGTAGGTTGTTTATATGCATTGTAGTTTTGTTTGAATATCAATTGACCTTGAAACATTAGAAGAGCATCATTATCTTAGAGAATTGGAAGGGAATTTATGTTCTTGGGATTTTGTTATTATGCCCCCACAGAGTGGGAGCATATAGCGTTGCACTTGTCCGTCCGAGTGTCTGTCCGTCCATACGTCCCGAAATCTTGTGAACGCAACTCCTCTTAAACCGGATGGCAGATTTTGCTTAAACTAACAGGGATGAACAACCTTAATGTGTAGATGGTAGTAAAGGAAGGAATTTTTGCTGTGACCAAATTTAACAGAATTATGGCCCTTTGTTGATTTTTTCACTATATACTATGTAGAAATTTTGTGAACGCAACTCCTCTTAAACCAGATGGCAGATTTTGCTTAAACTTCCAGGGATGAACAACCTTAATGTGTAGATGGTAGTAAAGGAAGGAATTTTTGCTGCGACCAAATTTAACAGAATTATGGCCCTTTGTTGATTTTTTCACTATATACTATGTAGAAATTTTGTGAACGCAACTCCTCTTAAACCGAATGGCAGACTTTGCTGAAACTTCCAGGGATGAACAACCTTAATGTGTAGATGGTAGTAAAGGAAAGAATTTTTGCTTTCGACCAAATTTAATAGAATTATGGCTCTTTGTTGATTTTTTCACTATATACTATGTAGAAATTTTGTGAACGCAACTCCTCTTAAATTGGATGGCAGATTTTGCTTAAACTTCCAGGGATGAACAACCTTAATGTGTAGATGGTAGTAAAGGAAGGAATTTTTGCTGCGACCAAATTTAACAGAATTATGGCCCTTTGTTGATATTTTCACTATATACTATGTAGAAGTTTTGTGAAAGCAACTCCTCTTAAACCGGATGGCAGATTTTGCTTAAACTTCCAGGGATGAACAACCTTAATGTGTAGATGGTAGTAAAGGAAGGAATTTTTGCTGCGACCAAATTTAACAGAATTATGGCCCTTTGTTGATTTTTTCACTATATACTATGTAGAAGTTTTGTGAACGCAACTCCTCTTAAACCGGATGGCAGATTTTGCTTAAACTTCCAGGGATGAACAACCTTAATGTGTAGATGGTAGTAAAGGAAGGAATTTTTGCTGCGACCAAATTTAACAGAATTATGGCCCTTTGTTGATTTTTAGTTTTCAACTTGTGGCACATGTAGTCCAAAAAATATTTGACCTAGAGTCATAAGATTGACAGAACAGTGGCGTGTGGGGGCATCTGTGTCCTATGGACACATTTCTAGTTTTTTATTTTATTGTTTACAGGTTGCAGAGTGACTGATGAAATATTGCATCTTGTACCAAATGTTGAAAGCTTTAGAATGACCCTGCGTGCCATCAAATTATGGGCTAAAAGTAGGTTATCAAATTACAATCATCTATCTTTAATGTTATACAAGAAATACATTTGAAACAGTCCATGGGTAATATAAGAGATTGAGTATAAAAAACAGCAGTCAACATACAGTCATCTGACTCCATGGACGTACACGCAAGCCTGTATCTTTAATGGTTTGATAGGCATATCATTTTTGCCACTCAGGCAGTAGTATTCAGAAAGTAAGTTTAAGGTATTTCTTATGTAAGATAACAGAAACTCAACAAAGAGCTTGAAGCTTTAGTCTGGGTGATTGCCTTAGATATAAGTATTAAACACTTGTAATCCACTAAAACTGCAATTATGATTAAAACAAATAAAATGTCGAAAATATTTATCACTAAAAATTGGTGTCAATTTCTAAAAAAATTATATAGAAATTTTTGTATGAAAAGAGTCTGCAGAGGAATACAAGGATCACAGTTTCAAATCTCAGTTTGATATTTTCAGGACGAGGAATATATTCCAACTCATTGGGGTTTCTTGGTGGTGTATCATGGGCAATGTTGGTGGCACGTGTTTGCCAGTTATATCCAAATGCTGATCCATCTACTCTTGTACAAAAATTCTTTATGGTTTATTCAACATGGTAAGTTAGAAAAATTATATGTTATTTACTTAAGAATTGTTAAGTCATTTAGTTCAGGACTATTTCAATCAGATGTTCTTTATATAAGAAAAAACACATTTTTAGCTCGACTATTCGCAGAATAATCGAGCTAATGCAGTCACCCATTTGTCGGCGTCCCTGTGGTTAAGGTTTTGTATGTAAGCTGGTATCTCCATAACTACTGAAGGGAATGGATTGAAACTTCACACACTTGTTCTCTGTGATTATCTAAGATGATTGGCACAAGTCCCATAACTCTGATTTGCTTTTTTTCATAATTATGCCCCTTTTTCGACTTAGAAATTCTCGGTTAAGTTTTTGTATGTAAGCTGGTATCTCCATAACTACTGAAGGGAATGGATTGAAACTTCACACACTTGTTCTCTGTGATTATCTAAGATGATTGGCACAAGTCCCATAACTCTGATTTGCTTTTTTTTATAATTATGCCCCTTTTTCGACTTAGAAATTCTTGGTTAAGTTTTTGTATGTAAGCTGGTATCTCCATAACTACTGAAGGGAATGGATTGAAACTTCACACACTTGTTCTCTGTGATTATCTAAGATGATTGGCACAAGTCCCATAACTCTGATTTGCTTTTTTTCATAATTATGCCCCTTTTTCGACTTAGAAATTCTTGGTTAAGTTTTTGTATGTAAGCTGTTATCTCCATAACTACTGAAGGGAATTGATTGAAACTTCACACACTTGTTCTCTGTGATTATCTAAGATGATTGGCACAAGTCCCATAACTCTGATTTGCTTTTTTACATAATTATGCCCCTTTTTCGACTTAGAAATTCTTGGTTAAGTTTTTGCGTGTAAGCTGGTATCTCCATAACTACTGAAGGGAATGGATTGAAACTTCACACACTTGTTCTCTGTGATTATCTAAGATGATTGGCACAAGTCCCATAACTCTGATTTGCTTTTTAACATAATTATGCCCCTTTTTCGACTTAGAAATTCTTGGTTAAGTTTTTGCGTGTAAGCTGGTATCTCCAAAACTACTGAAGGGAATGGATTGAAACTTCACACACTTGGTCTCTGTGATTATCTAAGATGATTGGTACAAGTCCCATAACTCTGATTTGCTTTTTTGCATAATTATGCCCCTTTTTCGACTCATGAATTCTTGGTTAAGTTTTTGCATGTAAGCTTGTCTCTCCATAACTACTGAAGGGAATGTATTGAAACTTGAAGAGTTTGTACCTTTTCAGACAATTTTATGTATTCATATAGGTAAGCATTATTATACTCAATGAAACACCCTTGTGACAAATTTTCGAATAGTCGAGCGTTACTGTCCTCCGACAGTTCTTGTTTAATATTGTACAAGGTTGTATAAAGCAGTACTAGGCTCTAGATAAAGAAGCAACTGTCTTCTACTTAGGTAGAATAAATGAATGTTGATATTTTGGATAGGTTTAATTCCTGTCTTATATGATAGCAATCTGAATCATATTTTTATCTTTATCATAATGACATTATATTGGTTTTGATTATTTGATGGTATTTTACTACACTAATGAAAGTACTGATGAATATACTATTTGTTAAGAGATACATTTTTTTTTTAATTTGACATGTATAATTCTCATACACAAAAAGTATACTTGTTTTTGAAAAACTAAAGTTTTTGATACAAAACAATTTTAAACTTTAAAAGTTTATCTTTAATTATTACAGAAAGTTTTATACTCTTATATAATTTCAGGCATTGGCCACAGCCAGTTCTGTTAAAGGAGTTTCAGGCTGAGAACAAATTAAATCTAACAGTTTGGGATCCAAGGGTATGTGAAATTTTCTTCCTTATTAGATATTAAGTATTATTATTTGCCTCGATTTAAAAATACAGGGACTGAAAGTTGTAGCATAAATTTGACAGATTGTTGGGAAATCAACATATTCTCTTATCACTTACAGTACATTGACTCAAATTCTTTTATAAACAGTACCCTCTGTCAGATTAAGTAGCTATTCTCATAGCTGGTTTTAAATTTTAGATCCAGCTAAAGTATGTCAGAAATAACTGTGAAATAATTTCATCTTAAAACTCAACCAAATATCGTGTGATAATTGACCTTTTTTGCTGCCATTATAAATGATTTTAGTAGACATTTCTTCTTTAATACGGGGTCTTTATTCTCAGGGCAAAAAAAGGGCAGATGGACCCTCCTTATGCATAGAATACACACATTTTTGCTATTATTATTTTTTCTGGCTGAGGCATACAAATCACAATCGAAGAGATGAAATAATTTTGTTATTGTTTAATTTTTTTGATTGTAGATAAACCCTTCAGATCGGTTTCACCTCATGCCAATCATTACACCAGCATATCCATGTCAGAACTCCACATTTAATGTCACTAAATCTACCAGACAAATCATGATGGACGAATTCAAAGAAGGTGAGTTAATTCAATCAAGAAGACAGATAGTTTTGTTTTCACCTGTAACAGTTGTGTAATGAACTAATCTGCTTTTACTTTTTACTTTGGAATAGTTTATTGGTGGGAATGATGAAATTATGAATCCTAAAGTGAAACAGGTAATACTGTCTAGGTGAGCAGTCTGGCTTTATACTGATTTCATCGTCAAGTTGTTAAAGCTGCAAGCATTTTTAAAGCCAATGATTTAGATACAACTTTCTGTGAAAGAAGAGAGATCTGGTGAAGAGATTTGGAGTGTTGTTTGTTACATAGAAACTGAAATGATTGTTAAGACTATATCCTGCTTGCTATAAAATTTTGATCTTTAAGACAAAGGTATGGTGTTTTATTCAATAGATTCCAATATTATATACCTGAAATAATGCAAAAAGGATGTTTTCTATCTTACATTTAGAGGAATATTAGTATAACACCTTGAAAAGTTGGTGATAAATGTTAACTTATTGATAGGTTTATTTTAGGGTATTATTATTTATTTAGACAAATTTATTCATATCAAATTAGCAATAAAGCTTTTGTTCCTCAAAATAATTTATAAAATGCATGACTTGTATAAGGAAATGTTAGATTTGGGACTTGTTTATTTAAATATTTGATAACATGCATGTTAATGGTATTAAGGTATTCTATGACAATATAAGGCTGTTCTTTTTATTGTTTGAGTTCTTTCCCTTTAAATAGTTGATAACATGCATTTTAAAGAAATCCAGGAAATTTCAGTCTTTTTTTCTTCAAAGTTGGAGTTCTTTCCCTTTGAAACAGTTGTAAAGAAATCCGGGTTTTTTTTTGTTTTCTTTTTTTTCAAAGTTGAAGTTCTTTTCTTGAACGGTTGATAAAATGCTTGTTTAAAGTATTAATAAAAGTTGTTCCTATTTTCAGGGCTGGATATTACCACTGAAATATATAAAGCTGGTGAAGATGGAGATTGGAGTAAATTATTTGAACCATCAAATTTCTTTCAAAAATACAAGTAAGTGATTTTCACCAAAAGTGTGTATTTGTAGGTCATTAATTTTGCTTTTTATGCCCCCACAATGTGGGAGCATATAGCGTTGCACTTGTCCGTCCGTCCGTCAATACGTCAGTCCGTCCGTCAGTCCGTCCGTACGTCCCGAAATCTTGTGAACGCAACTCCTCTTAAACCGGATGGCAGATTTTGCTTAAACTTACAGGGATGAACAACCTTAATGTGTAGATGGTAGTAAAGGAAGGAATTTTCGCTGCGACCAAATTTTACAGATTTATGGCCCTTTGTTGATTTTTTCACTATATACTATGTAGAAATTTTGTGAATGCAACTCCTCTTAAACCGGAGAGCAGATTTTGCTTAAACTTCCAGGAATGAACAACCTTAATGTGTAGATGGTAGTAAAGGAAGGAATTTTTTGCTGCGACCAAATTTAACAGAATTATGGCCCTTTGTTGATTTTTAGTTTTCAACTTGTGGCACATGTAGTCCAAAAAATATTTGACCTAGAGTCATAAGATTGACAGAACAGTGGCGTGTGGGGGCATCCGTGTCCTATGGACACATTTCTAGTTTGATACAGGCATCAAAGTCTTTTCAAAAATACAAATTTTTTGAACCTTCAAATTAACTGTAAGAATTAATAAAGTATATTGCATTCTTTCTACAAATGAATCAAGTAATGGATTTGAAATAGGGTATATATGTATATAAAAGTGAAAATAATTGAGTTCTATGTCTAAATGAAATTATATACATTGTATTGAATTGTGTGTTCTTAATGTGTTCATGTAATACTTTATATCTATGTTTTATATATTTTTTTCAGACATTACATAGTATTAACATGCTCTGCAGAAGAGGAAAACAATTACCTTGAATGGTAACATTTAATTTCTTCTTCTTTTCTTCTTCTTTTTGTCCATTATTAATTTATTTATAGACATTTTTAGCTCGACTATTCGATAAGAATAAGTAGAGCTATTGCAGTCACCCGAGCGTCGGCGTCAGTGTCGGCGTCTGCGTCGGCGTAACCACTTATGTTAAAGTTTTTGTAATAGTTCAAACATTTTCAAAGTCCATGGAAAATACAGGCACATGGAACTACATATTTTCTAAAAGGCACAGGGAAAAGTGATTTAAGATTTGCAGTTGTCTATTGATAAATGGCAACAATTGACTTGACTTTCTAACTTTGATGTCTTTTTCAATTTCAATTATATACCATGTGTTTTCTGTTTTCTATGTTCAAACATCAATGTCAGTCCCTTAATCTTAACTTGATTTTGAAGTAATTGAACTAAAATGTTTCCTGTCTCAAAACACTTCTGACTTAACTTAGTTAAGATACAAATGTAAGGTATGTATTGAATGTGATTTTATTTGATATTTATAATTTTCTATTTGAAGGCAAGGGTATCTGGAATCAAAGATCCGACTTTTAGTTGGGAATTTAGAAAGAAATCTCTACATTTCATTAGCTCATGTAACACCTGATTCATTTGGTCCATTAGATGAAACGTGAGTAATTATACTACATTTTCATAACTTATTTCTAATGATGTTACTTTCTGAGATTTTAAGCTCGACTATTCGAAGAAGGTCAAAAAGTACTATAACCTTTGTTACAGTACAAAACTCTTAGACACATGGTACACTTGAATCAACTCCCATTGGCCTATGGGAAATTAATATTACAAAAATAGTGAGAGGTTATGATATGAAATGTTGCCTGATTGAAATTCTTAACCTTAATATGTTTTGTGCTGAAATTTTGATGTTCTTACACAAAAATTCAATGTAATTTAATTGAAATTATGTTTGTTTAATGTATTTCAGTGATAGGCAATATATGTGTCGATGGTTTATTGGTTTGTCTTTCGAGAAAGTGGAGAATGCCAATGTTGATCTCACTTTTGACATACAAAGTTTCACAAATATTGGTAAGCCTATATTCATGATTGATTTAATTAGACTGTATGTTGATGTGCATGTGCCTAGAGTAGAACAAATGTTTTTTTGGGTTTTTTTTTACTATCGGCCTATTAGTGTCACCTTAGTGGTTGGTTAACTACCAACTATTGGTCCAATCAATAGGCATGTAAAATCTACCATAAGAAGTGTTTCATATAAATCAAGGTAGCTATATTGAGGTCTCTGTTCATCTCTGAGGTTCAGTCGGGATTTTAAAGTGACATTATGCTCATATTTTCATCGACAACTGAATTGACTATACATTTCAAAAGATTGATGCTATAATGGTGATTGATTGAAAGTCGATATTGGAAAACATTTTGGACAAAATATAAATCTGTCTTAAATATAAGACTGCCCCACTCTTTTTATAGTTTGAACATTACAGGTAAATTATGACAGATATTTACATAAATTTCCTTACCCCAAGTGAGTAATTTATCATTCATGCAAAGTAAATTATAACATTGAAAGCAATGATGGCAAATCGTAAACTTATTTTGACTTTTACATGTTCACTCACTTTATATCCTTGCATAGGCATAATGTCACACTGTAATCATTACACTAAGAGTTATCTGGTGTCTTCTTCCACCAGTAGAGTTAAAATGTAGCCACATGATTATTGAAGTGACTTATTCCACCAGCACCCACCATCCCTAACCTAAAAAAATTAAAAAAAGGAATAAGATGAAGATCATTTCTTTGAATAAATGTTTGCTGGAACTGATTTAATCATTCTTGATTGTCAGGTCTCTGTTTTAAACAAATATAAAAGCAATGTGATGGTTCATTTAGAGTTTAAGGGTAACTAATGTAGCGATTTTAACAGTGTTTTACATGGAGCAACTAATGTAGCCATTTTAACAGTGTTTTACATGGAGCAACTAATGTAGCCATTTTAACAATGTTTTTTTTACATGGAGCATTTATTTCTTTATTTTACAGTATATAAACAGGCAATACATATAAAATTATATAAAGAAGATATGAGGGTGGAAATCAAACATGTTAGAAGGTAAATTATTGTTTGTAACTGTTGAAAAATTATGGGGAAAAAATGATATTGTTGAAGTTAATAAAATTTATGGATTAGGTACATTCTGCTAGGACATTTTTGAAAGAAAGTGAATTACTGTTTTTTTTTTTATCACAGAACTTATAGTTGACTTACTGACAGTATGAAGTCTGACTGGACAACAGGGTTAAATTAAATATAAGCTGGCCACATTGATTAAGCTAGATGTTTTGTTGGGCGTACCCTGTCTTTTTATTCATTCTTGTTCCACTGATTCAATATTTGTTTTCGATACCAATGCAATAAAAGTTCAGATATTTACCAAACTTAATATTCTTCGAGCAAGCTTTATTATTGCTTGAATGTTACAATTTAGTGTAGGTTGTAATCATGTTTCGAAGCTGTTTTTATATGCATTGAATTAAATTTTAAATAATTTTTATTAGAAAACAACTGGACCAATTTGTACCTGCTGATATTCTGACAAGAGGTTGTAAAAGGTCCACAAAACGTTCGGTAAGCTATAGTTCATAAACATTTTGAATATACATTGGCACAAGAGTGAATTTCAATATTCACATTTAGTTATAGATCTATATATTTATGGTTTGTTTTTGTGTTGATTTGAACAATGTAGATATGATATTTACCTCCAGTAAATAATTATACAAATAAAATATTATTATGTCTTCTAGTTTAGGTAAAAAGTTCTTGTTTTCATATTCATAATATTATCATGAATTTTAGATATGTGTATTGTAGCTCATAAAGAAAAACTTATAATCTTTATTAATTCAGGATGCTCGTCAGAGTGCGGGAAACTTGGCCAAGGTTGCGTCCCCAGATACAAGGACATTGTCTCATAGTAAATCTGATACAGAATTATTACACACGGGAGAACGGGAGACTAACTGTGACCAGAACACTGACGTCAAACAGGAAGACTCTGGTGACAAACAGACTAAAACACAAATCAATGGGGATACAGCTGAAGAAAAGGACCAAAGGGTGGGAAAGAATTTACTGTTGTTCAAATGTTTGTAAAGGAAAATGAAAGTTATTGAGCAATGGTTGAAAAATATATACAGCATTATGTTTAAAAAAAGTTTTTTTATGATTTTAACTTTGTAAAGTTCAGGAGAGATTTTTAGCCTCTGTTTGGAAATGCATGATTGGAAATTTGTGATGTAAATCAATCTCATAAAGCTACATTTAAAAGTAAATATACTGATTCTATCTATTACAGAAGACACCAGATCTGATAGTGATAGAAGATGAGCCTGAGCAGAAAACACCTGTACACAATAATGTCCTCAAAAAACCTATACAGGTAATGTGTCCTAAATGATAGTTTGATATAAATGTATACCCATACTAAATATCTAAATCAGACTTTGAAATAGATGTATATCAAGTAATATTTAAAAAAAAGGATACAGGTAAATACATGTGTAATATCCATTAGATAACTTGCTGTAGATATATGGAAATATATTGATTATTTAAACACTGAAAATTTCCACAAACTAGTTATGACATGTATATTTTCAGTTATTACACATAGACTTCCCTATAATAGAATACATATAGATTTATGTAAGATAAAAAAATTTCATAGTTTTACGTATGAAAGTTATTTCTTTGTATAGGACACTGTTGGTTCACCAATGCACGTAGACAGTGGTATGAATAGTCCAGTATACAAGAAAAGAGAAGGATCTCCACCAGGTTTAAACACACCAGTAAAACGCTCAAGATCTACAGATGATTCTCAGGTAATTCTTACATCTAAATTACAACTTGTAGATAAATCTTTAAACCATTTGATTGTCATAATTGTGCTTTTTCTCCCTACTGCAACAGCTACTGCCATCTTCTGTCTCTTACCCAATTGAAGGATTTTTTTTGGTTCATGAAACAAACTGATTCTGGCATGTATTGCCAAGCCTTTGCTGTGCTCTTAATTTGTCATAGTGACTTTGGGGATCACTCTGGTTTCATTAATGTAACTGAAATTCTTATATTTGGATGAATTTTATTTTTATCTTGGAAAAATGAAATGATGGTTATGTTATTATGATGATAATTACAGGGAAGCTGTTCACCCATGCATACAGACCCTAGTCTGCACAGTCCAACATTAAAGAAAGACATATCTATTTCTAAAACTGTAGAAGAATTCAAGGAACCAATGCAAATAGAAGAAAAATCCATACCTGTTATATTGTCAGGGGGTAAAGCTATAGAAAAAGTGGTAAGTGTAATGTGAGAAAACCTATTTCATACACAGCTTTTGTATAGTGGAACTCTCTTTAGATGCTGTTATTTTACTTCTGTAAAAATTGACTAAAGGCAATTTTATGGAAACAATTTCTAGTCATTGGCCAATATTGATAAAACTGATGAATGGGACTGCCGTAATCTGAATGAATAAATGGAACTGCACATGTCTTATTTAATTAAGTTGAAATTGAATTGAATTAATTAAGGACTGTTTGTCTGTATAAAAAATTAATTGGTTTGACTTTGTCTAATTAATTGATGGGACTGCCTATGTCTGAATTAATTAATAGGATTGTCAACGTCTAAATTAATTGATTTCACTATGTCTGAATCAGTTGATAGGAAACCAATTGCCTGTTTTTGCTGTGGATTTGAATTCTGCTAGTTACAAGTTCTTTAATGTATAGAAGTTATCCAGCTAGCTTTTATTGTGCACCCTGATGCCTGGAATAATGTATAAACGGGTACCTGAGGTCTTTCTCTTCAGTAAGGCTAGAAAGTCAACATATGATCAATACTGTGACTTAAAATGACTTAAAATCAAACAAATAACTTGGACATAGAATTTTTACTAAAGTTATTTCTTGGTGGAAATGAATTGTAACTTTAAATGAAATGTAACAATAAGTTCTGTTAAATAAATAGGAAAGAGTACTTCTTTTAAAAGGTCATCATGTCACATGTTAGCATTTGTTTGTTTTTTTATGATTGTTCACTTTTCATGTTCTTCATCACTTTTAACCATACATGAACTATGCAGGGCTCAAATTTAACGAACACTCAAAAACTAGTGAACTTTAAAAGTAAAATAAAACCTAACTTTAAAAGTAAAATAAAACCTACTTGTTTGCATACTGTGGTAAATTCCATGGAAACAGTTTGTTATTTAACATTTATGTAACAAAATAACACAAGAAATTTTACACATTTTCAATCTTCATGAAAAAAAGATATACAAGATTAGATTGTGGTAGATGAAATCATTTGTGAAAAGATGTTAAATTTGAGCTCTGTGTTTCTGTCTTTCATTGGCATAAGCTTTGATTTTGTTTGGTATTTCATCTCATTGCCTTTGTTTACGTGGAAATTTTTGTAAACCTTTATTTGAAATGTTTTTATAGTCATTCTTTTATGTAGACTTAAGCTGTTCATTATTAAGTTTAGTTTGTGAATTGTTATAAAAATATTACTATCACATTACCAATAGAAGAAGATTAAGTAATAAATGAATTATATCTGTAACTTTATATCGAGTCAGTAGTTTTCTAAAAAAAAACTTGCTGAATATTAAATTTAAAAAACATACCTTTACCCTTACTTAGCTATTTTCATTGTTTCTCAACCTAGTCTGCAAGTTTTACCTATTACATGTATTTAACTTGACTTTATATTGATATTGAGCTTTATATTCTCCTGTAGAATGTGTATAATTAATAATCTGCTATAAATTTGGTCAGTCCATTGTTATGTTAAGAGATTTCAGTATCAATATTAAATGTTAAAAGAAGCCAGTGGTCATTATAGAACATGGTCAGACTTTACAAATAAGCTGTTTGACTTGGTTCAAAATGGGTAACATAGCTCTGTTACTGATTTTAGTATATAGCCATTGAGCTGTTTGACCTGACTATGGGTGAAATAGCTCTGTTAGTGATTTTATTATAGCCTCCAGCATTGAAATGGTTAAAGATGGAACTAGTGTAAATGGCTATGCTTACAATACTGTTTCATCCAAAGGCAGACTATGATGATAAATTAATTCTTGTTTATTAATAGCACTAAAATTTGATACCATACCTATTTTTCTTTTTCTGATGGTTTAAACTATGAAATATCTTATGTTAACCAGACACATGTTTGCTTTTATTATTTATCATGAAATCTTTAATTTTCATGGCACAACTAATATCACAGTTGAAATCTTTGTCATGTCTGTGGCATACATTTATGAACATGGACAAATCTGGTCAGAGAATCTCATTTTTGTATTTGTACAAAGTTTGGAGTAAATTAACAAAAAATCTGTTAAAAATGTTTCAACTCGAACCTTGATTAAAATCAACTTTGCCAATGAAAATTAATTGTTTCACAATAAACATGCATTTTATAGTTATTATTTTTTGCAGCAAAGATACTGTTATCCACTTTTGCAGATATTTGGCTCTCTATTAAGGGTGTAAATTAAGTATAATAAAACATGCTAAATAATTATATTAAAAGGAATAAACACCTTGTTCCTGGCTATTGATTACTTTGGAACACACTGGCTGTAATACTGACATTGCATCTTTGAAAATCAAAAATGCTCATTTTGCATAATTATAAGTTAAATATAATGACTGTGCACCATTAAAGTTAAAAATGCTGAGTTTGCATCATTTAAAGTTAAAAATGCTGAATTGCCACTGTCTGTTTGAATCATTCAGATGTTATATACTTTGATTTTAGGTAGGGGTTCATCAGTCTTACTAACTGGCAATGGTTCTGTAATGAAGTTGATAATGATTACATGTACATTGTTCCATTTCTATATGTGAAAACTCCAAACTTTTTAATTTTGTTGGCAAGAAAAGAAAACTCAGTATGTTATATCTGGTGTCATATTATATTCACTACTTGAACCATTTGCTGCAGTATCATAAAAATGACTTGGGACTTTTTCCTGTAGATACAAAAAAATAAGGTTTTTTTTCTTACATATGTTTACTGGTAGCAGGCTGTCAACCAATTCCTATATTCCTATAAAACTCCTATATTTTGGGTTGGAATCCTATATTTTAAAAAACCTCCTATTTTTCCTATATTCTCCTATATTTTGAATATTTTTCCTATATTTTTTTAAAAATATATTGCCGAGGAATTCAAAGAGATTTAAATTTTGGTACTGCTTTTGGCCTTTTGTATTTTACAGGTAAGAGAATGTGTATGCCTGCATCAGCATCACATTACTATGCTCAAGGCTGCTGTGCTCCACATAGCCATCTGCATGGTCACCATGAAAAGCAGTGCATCAGTATGTCAACTTTATTTCAGGTGACCATTCAGATGATGGTCATGCATTGCTGTAACTTTCTGCTGATGCTGTGGTTCAAAGCTAATGCAGGCTGTCCAGCATCCCTAAAATTCCTAAAAAAGTGAAAAATTCGAAGGGAATTCCTACAAATGCCCTATTTTTTCACTGAAATTCCCATGATTTGCCAACTCAAAATTGATGACATTGAAATGGTTTCGTTTCAACTAAAAGTTACTTTGACTATGTCAGTAACATTGCTATTTCATAAAGCAGTTGTTGATAATCATGTGGATAGTTAACAGCAAAAACACTACCATATCATGGTCCTGAAACTCAAATCATAACCATAAGAGTCCACTTATTCTGGAATATTTTGACACTGTTTTGCCAACTCCAGATATCTTGAATTTTATGTTTGTTCATTTTATCCAAATTTCTGAAGTGGTCCATTTATATCATATCATATTTGAAAATGATCATTATGAAACTGTTGTAACACAATCTTAATTAAAAACATGTATAAATAGTTGTCAAAAATTAATGTACAATTTTTTACTCACAACTCTTTTATTTAAATCTGCATAATATCAAAACAACATTGTAAAGTACTGAATGGGTTAACATAGACTTTGAAAAATTAATTCTTTCCCTCATACTTATTTATCCTTTTCGTATCTTTGTAGGAGAAATTGCTTATTTTGCCACAAAGTTATCAATTTCATTCAGTTCTTGTTCTTTCATTCATATGGTCCCATTTAGGAAAAGGCAGACTCATATAATTAATCACACTCAAAATAATTTGGCAGTTCACTGTTCAGTAATATAAAGCTCATTTCCAATTACAATGTACACACATTTTGCAATTATATGATCTAGATAAACTGCAACTGAATGGTCTGTGTGATGAACTTTTTTGATGTGCAATTCTTTGTGTTGATTATAGATGCTTCCCATTTATTCAAATGACTGTACTAAGGCAAATGCCTTTTTACTTTTTACCTACTTTTACAAAAAATTTCATTTGTCCATATTCAAAAGCTGCATTGTGCAAGAATTTCACTGTATAAGAATTCCTTTTAGACACTTGTTGTTATAAAAAAATTATTCCCAAAACATAGGTAGAACATGTTCTTTTTGACATGTTCAGCCATTTTAAAAAATATGGTTTGAACATGATTTGACTTTGACCATTTCCGCAGGGGAGGCAGTTGACCAGTGAGTCCACACTGGTAGCACCTTTGCTCAAACTAAACTAGAGCATTATTTGTGAGTTACTTATGTGTCAAATATGCAAAGGTTAGCTCACATCATGGTCTTTTGGGACCTTAGTTTATTTAGTCATAAAAATTGCAAATTTTAGCCCTAAAATTTCTATTACGTACCCTAAAATTCCTAATTTTAGCCCTAAAATTTCTGAAATATTACCCTAAAATTCGCCCTAATTTTATGTCGGAAGGTGCTGGACAGCCTGCTAATGGTTTCCTTCACTTATACGGTAGACATTTTATTGTAGAAACAGCATGTGTAAAAGTAAGAATAATTTACATTTATATAAGCATTGGTAAGTTAAACAATTTAAGTTGAAAACTCCTATTTTTTTGCCTCAAAATGGTCCAAAAACTCCTATATTTCCTGCTAAAATATTCCTATATTCCTCCTTTATTTTGGATAAGACCTGATTGACAGCCTGTGGTAGTTATCGAAAATTCCTTTGATTTAGATAGAGCTTTGGTATTGGTTCATAAGAAAATCACAGTTAAAGTCAAGATTCAAATGATCATATTTTTTTGATATAATTTTTTTTGGAGATATTTAAAAAATGAAAACAGTTCTGAAAAGCTCTATGTCTGGCTGGAACCCTTTTGGTTAATAATAAACATTTTCAGAAATCAATTGAAGTTGCTTCATCTCTATACAAGGAAAACTGAAAAAGAAGTATTAAACAGTATCTTTGATTGTGTCACATATAATTTTGTCACTGTATCACTGCATGCATCATCTTATTTGCTAAAATATAACGCATGTTTACTTCCAGGCATGAGGTAGGCCGGCAATTTGGAGATAAATACACAAAGGTTGTCCCAGTTTGAACACAAATCATCTTGTTTTAATAAAACACTAAAATCACGTTAAAAGTGCACTTAATTATGTAAAAAAAAAATAATAATATAAAAAAATAATATGGCAGAAAAGATTAAGAAGTCTGCAATAGTTAATATGTAATTACTAAAAGAAAGGGGTAGTAATTTTATGTGAATGATGACTGTATAGAAAATACAAAAACATACAGGTATCTGGCAACTGTGATTTGCATTTTGATATGATAATTGCAGATTAAATATTACATTAAAATTCTGGCTATTTGCAAAATTTATTTGAGGTAACAAGATCTGTTTTGATCCATTACGGTAAATATATATATAATGAAATATATATATTAGTGTGTTTACCATGGACATACTCTGCCTTTGTAGACAAGAGGGCGGCGGCTACCAAGCAAGGAGGTACCAGATTTGTTGAGCCCACTCGCACAGAACTCTGCCACGACTCCACCCAATGCAGCAACAGTACCAAAACACACAATTAAAATGGTCCTTAAAAGATGACCATAATATATTACATTCTTTTTCATTTGTTTATCAACTTACTTTCTTTGCATTTTGACATTTCATTGTTAAATTTGCAATAACTTTTGTAAGTCAAATAATATTCACTCAGCATTGTCACCATATTGATATAATGTTGAACAGATACTAGTATGTCTAAGGTTCATTCTATTGAGACACTTTTTATAACCTTTGATGATAATTATTAGAATATTTTCCTGACAGTTTTTATGATGATTTTACATAGATGTCAAACCTTAATGAGAAGAATATTAGCTTGTAGTACCCATGTACATGGTCCTCAAAGGTCAAGGCATATGGTGAAAGTTATCAAAAAAAGTGCAAACTTATTTATTTAAACAACAATTTGTTTTCACATCCTGACTTTAAGAAAACTATTTTTTGCAAAAGTGACACAATACAATAGCTTTTGTTTTTTGGACATTTTCTTTCTAATTTAAGTTGAAACTTTGAGGTTTGTAATAAACCCATACTTTTCAAGGGCACATGATAGTCATCTTATGTCATATCAGCCCTTTATTTGTACCTTTAGGTCAAAGTCATTGTTAAAGGTCAGACATCTTGACTGGGTTATGAGTCAGTGTAGGTAGGTCACCTTAACTGATATAAGTTGAATGACCTTGACTTTAATGTCACATGTCCGGGTTGCAAGTTGAAAGAAAGTGCTAAAAAAGACATTGGTACCTTTATTTATTGTTTTCTGTCAATATTTTGGAAATTTTGTATAAAAGAAGTACATGTAATGTTATTTGAGAGAATATATTATTTTTCTATTTCTGAATAAAATCAACAGAAATAATGTTGTTTTTCTTGTTGTTAAACAACCTGTTATATTGTGTGTTAAGAAATAGAATTATATGTATGCATAGTTAATTGTTGATGTAAATCAAGTTACCAAATGAAGTAGTAATTTTAGGGTAATTTAGCCTCATGATGACCTGATTTTATATACAATTCAAATATGCAGTTCAATAACCTTTTACCTACTACTGTATAATTGGAAATTTTCGCTTGTTGAAAAGTTAGCGAATTTAAAATTCCAGACATTTCACATGAGGAAATATGAGCGAATCATGCAAGGGTAGAATTTAAGACATTAAAGATTGGTTGATATTTACACTAAAGGAAATTTTAGTGATTTTCATCAATTCACGAAATTTGCCAATATTTCTGCATCGCTAACTTAACCACTTACAGTATACATGTATATCATTATCTTAAATATACTTGTCCATCTTTCAATCTGGACAAAACCATTCACATTTTGTAGGGAAAATTTCAAAATACAAACTGACTGAATTTCAAACAGTGAAGATCATGATCAGATGGCACAGATGAGCTGGCTGATCTTGGTCTGCACTGGTCACATAGGTAAATTTAGTTGCTGCCAGTAGGGTGAATGCTAAAAGAGGATAGTCTCCAAGATGAACTTTTACCGTATTGTTTACCATAATCAGTGTAACATGAAATGAGGGTAGAATTAATTATCACAAAATAGTTGCTAATTGTTTATAGTGCTGTGGCTATGGCTACAAAATTTGTCTAATTTTAATTTTAACATTTTTGAAACCTTGTTTATTGTAATACTGATTGTTAAATCAATATGGATACAGATTTTTGTGTATTTCTTTTCCCTTTTTTCTTTTTCAATATTTTTTGTTAAAACATTCATTGTTAAGAATCAGTGCACAAAATTGTTTTTTCAATCAAAGTTGTTTCTTTTCCTTATTTGACTAAGTAGCCTGATTATTCCTTATCGTTAGTTATATGCATTGTGTTTATGGTACCATATCTTGATAAAAATGTAATGGGTATTGAAAAAAAATTGTGTAAAATGCTATAAATATATGTCAAGGCCCATTTTTTTTTATGCTTAACAAATTTTAACTGAATTTTGTATGATTTTGTATATAAAACAAATTGATTTTTATGTGAGACTCACAATGGATGAGGCTTCATACCAAAACAAAATTAAATGTAAAACATTTTGATGTTTATAGCCAAATGTTGGTACAAAGTAAAACTGGACATAAAGACAAGTTTTGACAGTTTAGTCATGATCCATTTTTATGCAGTTTCATATATGTTAGATTGTAAACATAAAGTCAGATTTATCTATATCATGTGCAATTTGACCATTGTGGCCTTGAACATCTTTAATCTTAACCCTCACTTATACAATGAACTTGTCCAGTGAATTAGGAATAGTCTATTGTTAATTTTTAGGGATTTTCATGTAAAAAGTGTCTGGTTCTTAAGCTGGTTGCCTAGGATTACCATTAAAGTTGTCTAGAATTGCCATTATGGTTGTCTAGGATTGCCATTATGGTTAACTAGAATTGCCTGTATGGTTGTCTGTGAGTGCCATTATGGTTATCTGGGATTGCCATTATGGTTGCCTGTAATTTTAGGATTGCCATTATGTTTGTCTAGGATTGCCATTATGGTTGTCTAGGTTTGTCATTATGGTTAACTAGGATTGCCATTATGGTTGTCTAGGATTGCCATTGTGGTTGACTAGGTTTGTCATTATGGTTAACTAGGATTGCCATTATGGTTGTCTAGGTTTGTCATTATGGTTAACTAGGATTGCCATTATGGTTGTCTAGGTTTGTCATTATGGTTAACTAGGATTGCCATTGTGGTTGTCTAGGTTTGTCATTATGGTTAACTAGGATTGCCATTATGGTTGTCTAGGATTGCCATTGTGGTTGACTAGGATTGCCATTATGGTTGTCTAGGACTGCCATTACAAGAGTGCCAGTGGTTAAGTGGATATATTCTGCACCCAGCTTTAAAAATGAATCAAAATGAAATAAAAGAGTATTTCCATGCTCCTGCATGACCTTGACCCCTCAATGACCTTGGATGTCAAGGTCAGATTTATTTGGAAAGAAAAACATTGTAGTGAATAGGGGGCATTTGTAATTTAGGAAAACATTTGTATTTGTTCATGGTAAGTGCAAATTAAATTTCAAGGGTTGACTGCAAAAGTGCTGTAACTTATATGACATAAAGGACTTACAACAGTTTTGCGGACAACCCTCAAAATGTACATTTTAGAACTATCATTGTAAATATCTGCAGTCATTTCCATTATGATGTACATACTCATAATTTACCTCATATAGCTGTAAAATTTCTTTATGTACAGTTTATATACCATTTTTATTAATTCCTGAAAAAAAAATCTTGTTTGTTAAATCATTACAAATAATAGGAGTTTCTGTTTCATGGAAGTATTAATATTTTAGTCAATGGAAAAGGTTCATTAATGTATTATTTCTTGACAGTTTTCACATGCTCCTGGGACTTGTTTAGTTGTTTGTATAGCTGTAAATTTGTTTTCATCTTCCATCCTTACTTTACATCTCATAGAACAGCTTATAAGGTTTTGTTAATGCATCATCAATAAGTGGCCATCATTGTCCATCAATATATGCTGTTTGTTTGTATAATGCTAAAATATCAGGTCTAGTTAAAATAAATATCTTTTAAAAGTTTGTCAAAGTTTCACAGAGTCACTATATCTATGTTTGTAAAGCAGTCAAATGACTATTTCTTGTCATGTTCAGACTTGGTCTTTCAAAAATATAGAACATGATAATTACCTTAATTACAAACTTGTGTGTATTCTTAATGAGGGGCCATCTGCCCTGTCAGGCACTGAGAGTATGGACCCCCAGTTGTAAACTTAATTGGTAGAATTTGCTGTAAATCTAACGGTATCAAGTTAATGCATACCTGCTTACACATATATGTTGAACCTTTGGATGCTGTTTCAGATTGAAACTGTTCATTATATACTTAACAATGAAATATTGATGAAATAAAATGCTTATTTTCATTTTTCAATGCAGTGAAACATATTTTCCATATTTTCACTGGTGTCTTGCTGGACTACTTTCTTCTAAATTCAGTCCATATACATAATTTAAGGGAAATTCTTTCAAATTGTTGTGTCAAAAAAATGAAAAATGTATATAATAAACAGAAAATTCAAGTTTTTTTTTCTATAAATACAGGATTTATTTTCATCTTTTGGTATGAAAATTATCATATTTGACTCCTGGCTACCACCACTCATGAAATATTTATTTTCATACCACTCAATGAAAATAAGTCCTGTATTTATAGAAAAAAATTGAATATCCTCTATATATTATTCTTACATTTTATGCTCATACTGTTAAATACTGGGTTTTACCAGTGAGATATTTTTTCTGTATTTTTCACTGTATAAAACTCATTATGAAAAATCATATCAGCATAGAGTGTAAGAAAATCTGTCTGTTAATTCATAGATATGGAAATATGAGATTTATCTCATTTCAAAAGTGAAATTCTTTCATATTTCACCCTTGCTACTTTTTCATGAGGATGTGTTAGAAAAAAAAATCTTTTTTAATGAGATATGATCATTGAAAAGAATTAAATATCTTGCAATTACTTACTTGCAAACACCAAATGCCTTTATGTGTTGAATTTATACATTAAGTAACATTCATTAATGCCACTAAAAAAAAATTTTTTTTTTTTAAAATCCATTTTAACCATACTTAAAAAAAAAAATTGTTGATGTAAATAATGTGTACGTGTAAATATTTTATGTACAGAGGAAGTTCAGGAATATCATAGATAAAACATGATTGTAAATATGACATCATTTTTTCTGGTATAGATTACCGTATCATTTATTGTTTCGTATTTAATCACATTCTGAGTGTGGTCATAAGCATTACAACATTTATCATTTGAGTTATCTATGGTGGGGAATAAAGGCAAAAGGTCTGAAACAAACTTAATATTGGAGTTATCTATGATGGGGAATAAAGGCAAAAGGTCTGAAACAAACTAAATATTTGTGTTATCTATGGTGGGGAATAAAGGCAAAAGGTCTGAAACAAACTTAATATTTGAGTTATCTATGGTGGGGAATAAAGGCAAAAGGTCTGAAACAAACTAAATATTTGTGTTATCTATGGTGGGGAAAAAGGCAAAAGGTCTGAAACATTTAATATTTGAGTAATCTATGGTGGGGAATAAGGACATAATGTCTGAAACAAACTAAATATATTTGTGTTATCTATGGTGGGGAATAAAGGCAAAAGGTCTGAAGTAAACTTAATATTTGTGTTATCTATGGTGGGGAATAAGGGCAAAAGGTTTGAAATAAACTTGATATTTGTGTTATCTATGGTGGGCAATAAAAGCAAAATGTCTGAAATAAACTTAATATTTGAATTATCTCTGGTGGGGAATAAAGGCAAAAGGTCTGAAACAATCTTAATATTTGAATTATCTATGGTCGGGAATAAAGACAAAAGGTCTGAAGCATTACAAATAGCAGTCAAATGGTGTGATAATAAGATGATGGGATCCTTATAATGGGCATTGGTAATCAACAACATGACAAATGTTAACTTTGTTGTTCCTTCCATTTTTTTTAATCACTTTATGGAAAACTGAAATTTGTTACCACAGAATTGCAATGTGTATTTTTATGCCCCCACAAAGTGGGAGCATATAGCATTGCACTTGTCCGTCCGTCCGTCTGTACGTCCCGAAATCTTGTGAAGGCAACTCCTCTTAAACCGGATGGCAGATTTTGCTTAAACTTCCAGGGATGAACAACCTTAATGTGTAGATGGTAGTAAAGGAAGGAATTTTCGCTGTGACCAAATTTAACAGAATTATGGCCCTTTGTTGATTTTTTCTCTATATGCCATATAGAAATTTTGTGAACGCAACTCCTCTTAAACCGGATGGCAGATTTTGATTAAACTTCCAGGGATGAACAACCTTATTGTGTAGATGGTAGTAAAGGAAGGAATTTTCGCTGCGACCAAATTTAACAGAATTATGGCCCTTTGTTGATTTTTTCACTATTTACCATATAGAAATTTTGTGAACGCAACTCCTCTTAAACTGGTTGGCAGATTTTGCTTAAACTTCCACGGATGAACAACCTTAATGTGTAGATGGTAGTTAAGGAAGGAATTTTTTGCTGCGACCAAATTTAACAGAATTATGGCCCTTTGTTGATTTTTTCACTATATACCATATATATGTTGTCAGTGGGGGCATCCGTGTCCTTTGGACACAGTTCTAGTTTAGAATGAATATATTGTTGTTGATGTATTTTGAATGATTTTTCATTTCCAGATAAAAAAAATTATGGACAGAAATAAAGAAAAAAATAAGAAAATTATTTATGGTTTATGTTGGTCAGATTTAGAAATTGTCAACATTTTGATTTTGATTGGTCAATTGTATATATTTTGTTGAAGATACAAAGAAGTTTATTTTATTTGAATGTATTGTACTTTATTTGGTTTATTCTTTTTTTCTTTTGTGTAAATTTCGATTGCTGATGTTTCTTGAAAGATTAGCATTAAGAACTTGTAGGTTGTATTGTTTTTAACTTTTCTTAAATTTTTTACACTTGAGGGAATGTGGTCATTAAGATTTGTTCTTACCAGATCTTGTATATATGTCTGAATTTAAATCTCAAATATTTTTGGCATGCACTGCACTAAATAAAAAAAAATACTAATTATTTATGGAGATGTATTGTGCACATGCTTTTTGGTACTAATCCTGGAGTTGTAGCCCTTGAATTAGATTCAAGGCATTTTATTCACTGCCCTACTATGTCATTAACAGAACATTATCAAAAGTTACATAATGTTTATTGTTATGAGATGCTGTACATAAAAAATGGGTTTTAGATTTTTTAAATGGACAAGTTTTTGGCCCTTGACTTAGTCAAAATGGTGGAAATCTATATTTTGTTCCCTCAGTAAATGACAAAAACTAATAATGAAACATTAGTTGGAGAAGTTGGTGATTTTAGTTTCTATACCAGACCAAAAACATCAAAGTTATAGCCCTTGATGTAGTCAAAACTGAACAAATGGCAAAATATGCCAAATATTGCACATGTTATTTTGTTCAAAAGATAAAAAGGATGGGAGCTTACAAAATATTTTTTTATGTAAGAATCAAAACAGATTGTTAACAGGTATAATACAAACATACCAAAGTTATACCCCTTTTGTACCATCCAGTTTGTGTTCCAATTATATGGGATTGTTTACTAGAGTTACAGCCCTTTGATTTAGTTAAAGCACATTTTCACCGGCATTCAGATCTGGCATTTATTGTTTTAAGATTTGATAACACATTGTAATTTGTGAGCACTACATCTCTTAAAAACTGCCTTTCAAATGAAGACCATGTATTTTGTTTAGACTTAAATCCGTTGTTTGCTATTGGGGGGGGGGGAGAAATATACTATTGCAGTTTTTATATATTTGAATTATAAAAAGCATTAAAGTACTAATAATATTTTTTATGTTTAAAATGAGCATAATATTAGAGTTATTGCTCCCTAATTTTTTGTGATTTATTTAAAAGGATATAATTTGTTCTGATAATTTAATGTTTTTATCCTAATTTGTGCTAGTTATAGAAGTTATGGCCCAAAACACAATTTTGTATATACATGTATATAAATGATAACACTGAAAGTATTTCTTCTTTTTTTAGTGTGGCAAATTAATCTTTCCTTTTGTTAGTTATTGAATACAATGGCAGTTTTTATTATAATTATGTACTTGACAGATGTTTGTTTTTGCTCTGTAGTTGAAAAACTTTTATACCAATAACATTGATAAAGTCTCAAACAAAACAGTTTATCTAATTAAATTGCATCACTGCTTTACTGTAATTGATTAACGTCCGTGAAAAGAGAAGTTTTTGCTAAAAGTGCTTACATTAACAGAACTTATTTCATTATTGTTCAGAAATATGGGGCTTTGTTTTGACAGTTTACGGTAACAGTACTCTAATAATGCTCCTCTTAAAAAATGGATACCTCGTAAATTGGTTGATGAAGCAGTAGGTCATATGTTTCTTGAGCCCATGTTTCTATGTACTGAAATAATTTTATATTGCTTTATCTTTTTTCAAAGTGGATTTTTGTAAACAAATATTTTTTTTTTGCCTTTCAATATAATAGGACATGTAATTAGATGATCAGAAAGAATAAAAGTGTACATAGAGGACAGTATGTTGTGTGGAAGTTTTTGATCATAATTTTGTAAGATGTTGTTCTTATGTTTGTAATATACTGAAAATGTTATTATATTTTAAACTAAATAAAATGTGAAACTTGATTATGAATTATAGTTATAATTTCTGTCCAAAAGCCTTAAGAAAATTTTCCATCTTGAAAAGAATTACAATGTGCTTGAATAAAGTGGCAAAGTACATGTAATTTATTCATTGCAAGCAAGTTAATTAGTCCTTAATTACTTTGTTACTTAGAAAATGTCTTTATGAATGAATGAATATGAAAATGATTTAGGTGAGATTTTTATGAGGGAGCCGGCGTTTCTTCTGTAGACCATTTACGAAATCGGCGTTACCACGTAAATGGTCTTGGCTAATTTCAGAGTAGTTCGACAAAGCCTTATGTATACCACACTGTCCTGCACATGGGAGTAATGACAGAAATCTATAATTTGAGGGGAGCGGTGGCCTAGTGGTTAAGGTGTCTGTCTCTTAACACAGGAACCATGGGTTTGAGCCCTAATCGGGTCTCGACCATGTTTCTTCATATGACACCAGTACTGGTTGGTTTCAGGAAGCGGACTCGAAAGTGATTAATATAAGTTGCAAGAACTTTGTTTTGCAATCGAGCTTGAAGAAATATGTTTAAATCAAGTCTAAAATTTACTGATTACTTAATCAGTTTATTAATTTGGATGGTACACATAGGCATTCATCATTTAGTGTATTAACCTAGTGGGGTCTTCGAGGAGAAAATACTGCCGTGTTAGGCATAATGTATTTTCGAGGCCGCCGATGATGGCAGAAACGCCTTGAAAGTTGCTAACATTCTGACAGAAAATGAAGATCGGACTATCGGGGTAACGGGTAAAGAGTGATATCAGTGTACAGTGGTCACACTTTGTATATCAATAGCATTTACACAACACTGTTATATTACCATATAACATGGCTAAGTTTGTAATTTTCGTAGATGGTTTTGTAAACAGGCTAATGCATGAAGTTCTGCAAAATTTAAAATAGAATAAGTGTACCCGGAAATGTGAAATTTCTTGGTAAGGGTGGCTTAAGAACAGATCGAATGGATGCAGATCTTTATTCTGGTTGCTTATATTCTGAAGCTCATACAGCCTATAGATACATTGTACATTCAATTGAATTTAAGCTATTGTGAAAAACAAGTAAAGATGGTGAAATACTTACAACAAGAAATTTTACCAAATGTCTTCGACTGACAAAAGAAATAGCAAAGATCCCGTGAATGGCCAGCACATTATATGATATCAGCATACGGCACAAGGTCTGCATGTTATTCTAGCGTCATTAGGGTGTCAAAGTTTTAAAAGGTTTGCCGCCGCACGCAATACAACCTTAGAATGAATATTTTCTTATACACGAGGAGTCGTATTGTTGGACAATTCCAGAGGCCGCTTCCCGTTTGCGTGATAGTCTTGAATTTGTAACCCTTCAACTGTTGTTTATCTGTGAGTAAAACTGTAAAAAATACTGTCTAAAAGTATAATTTCAAATATTTTTTTTCAAAAATGATAAGATGCCTTTTCAGTATAAAATCAGACAAAGAAAATAATTAACTTTACACTGGTAAATATTTAAATGTCTCAAACACATTTTGATTTTCTAAGGTAAAAAAACTTTGCAAAAAAATGCCACAGCTAGGCATCGACATCGCATAAACGCCCTTAATATATTTAGCGTTATTTAAATGAATAAACGGTTATAGACGCTGATACTTTAGAAAGCTATTAAACGGGACTAATCAACTTTTATTTGAGAGTAAAGTAGCCTATGAAGTCCTTACTGAAAAATAATATGACCCTATACAAAGTTCTAACAAAGAGTATTCGTTTAGAAAGCAACTTCTACCTTTGACTTTAAAAAATAGGAGTTGGGAAACCTAATTAGGATTATGAGTTTCTTAGTCCTGTTAAGGAAACACAAACCAGTTTCTTGATAGAATATTTAATTAACTCATAATTAGAAGTTATAAAAGCCTAATTAGGACTTTGTTGACATTAATAATAGTAAGTTCTAATTAAGGTTTTTCTTTCTTCTAAGTTTAATTTTTTCCTTAGGGCCTCAAAGTGGTCTTAATAGCGAGACATTACTGTAAAAAACGTCACTATTATCCAATGAAAAGCGACGTTACTATAAAACGTTATGTAAGTCGTCACGTGTTTAATGTCATTATGACGTATATGACGTCGTTACGTTGTTAACAACGTCATTATCATTTGTCCTACTCTAGCAGAGATATGGGGCATGGTTCGTAAACGTTTCTTTTTAACTGGGTTGTTTTTATTAAAAAATATAGAGCATAGTCACCCCGAGCAGACATTTTACTGATGCGTGCTCAATATTTGACATTGCTTTGATTCTAAAATCCCTTAAATTATTGACTATTTTAAGATAAAGACTAGGCAATCTTTTATTGCTATTGGTTAACATTTATGTAACTTATAAGCAATACACTTATAACACCATTTTTCATTATATTTCTCTTTTAGATGATGCCGGTGGAAATTGCGCCAAAGAAAATGGAGGAGGCTTGTCAGACGAAATGATTGAGACATTTTTATTGTTGATAGAACTTCTTTGAACATTTAAAATTGTTTTTTTAAACTCGAGTTATTTGTTTCTTACTTTTAGACCTGACTTCAAATACGCATTGAATGATTTTGGAGAAAATGAAATACACTGTTACATTTTTTGTTTTTGTTTATTTCATTTATAGGTTTTGAATAAGGATTAAACCATTATATAAAGTATAATCTGTCTTGTATATGAATTCTCGTAAGGTAACATATCCTTTCGGTTGAATTTTTATGTGAAACATCGTTAACCTTTGTCAAAAAGGAATAAAAGGTCAACTAAAAAAGGTCAGTCATTTATCACACCAAATTTGATAAGATTGTTTCACTTTTATTTTTTTTTATTTTCTAAACGTGAGACGTAACGAATGCGGTTGTTTTGTATATTGAGCCTTGATATCCATGTATTAGTTAGTCTAAGTAGCGCTGGTCGTGCATTTGCACGAGTTACTATATTCAACCATATAATTATTCAGGCCTGTACTTACACTCAAATCCCATTAGATCAAGACAGTCTTCAACCGTTCTGTAAAGTGGTATTCAGATTATAAAGTATGTGTCGAGTGAACTCAGGAAAGTTGAAAATCTGTGAGATAAGAAGGGGGCTACCTTGAGGTGTCCTCAATAAAATAATAATACTGACTACCACTTAGTTTTTAGTATTGATTTTGAGTGCATCGTATACGTGAAGTGACAGTATTTGAGGTAATTAATGGTGAAAAAAAAGACACTTAGGGATAGAGAAAATTAAATTTATGTCAGAAGTTGAATTTTATCAGAAATTTCGGCAAAGATTTCAATAAGTCAGTCTTTTAAAAGGCACGTTATGCCTAATTCTTTTTTTAATTGTTTATAAAAATATTTAACATTTAAAGTTGCACTTAACGTGCAGTAATGTGTTATGAAGGTAGAAAAAATGTAAACAATGTAGTATTTTTACTTTCATACGAATGATAATGCACTATGATTATACCCTTTGCAGAAAAAAAGGATAGTTCAGAACTGTTACAAGATACCAAGAATTGAAAAATAAAAATGATAGAATTTCTGAGGCATAATGGTACTTTAAAAATGTTATAAGATGATTAAGAAGAAAAAACATAATTGTTAATTGATTTTTTTTTCACTGACATAAAAAATGGATGCTACTTTCAAAATTAAGTTTACGCTATTGAAATGTATTTTTATAGTTCTTATTAAACGCCTTTCAGAAACCTTTCACTACTTTCTTTAGCTTCCTTTTTTCGTCATGTCTTTCAGGTTTTCCAACATTGTTTTGCTATTCTGGCATTTACTTCTTGAAAACTATTTAATTCTCTTTAATTTTCTCCTCATGCTTTTGTTTTATTGAACATAGATTTCAAAGATCTTGAATAATTAAATATTTCAACATTTATCCCGCTTCGGTGAAATACACGACATGGTTACACTTTTGCAATATATATTGAGTGATGTTATGCAATAAAACCGATCGGTCTCCCTCACGAGAGGTAAGGTTTAGTGAACAAAACGAATACCACTAGGGTAGGGCATGTTAAACGTTGTAATATTCAATAAATTAAATTTTTGGTCTATATCCAATATTTATATTGTATAACTTTAATTTTATATGCTATTCCATAATATTTATTCTATCCTACTAAAAATATTTGTTCATCAAAAATATTTATGTGCGATAATTTTCTATATATATGTTCTATATTTGAAAATATATATTGTATAATTTAAAATATTTAATGGATTCAGTACTGAAAAATATTTATTCGATAATTTGAATTAGGGATAGAACACTTAGCATATTAAGCCCCGCCTTTAAAGTAAGCACGAATTTCTGATAACGCGTTATCATCCTGATAGACTATAGTGTAGTGGAAATATCCCCGTGAATGTCACTTGTAAATAGTGCATATGCTATGTATGTAAAAAATGCAATCTCATTAAAATCATATCCTAACTGTCGCTTCACTACCCTACGCTCGGAGAGTAACGGAGCAAAAACGATGATCTGATTTTAATGAGATTGATCACATTTATCTTTGCAATCACAATTCATATGTCACTTGTAAAAGAAAAACTCGCGTTAAAATTATGCCGTCGAAACGTCACTAAATTCGATCAATAAGAAATTGTGTCAATAGTAAGTCGAGAAACTGTCTAAAACATAGAAAGGGATAATGGAAAAAGGGAAAAGGTTAAGGTAGCCACAGCACAGTTTTTGATTGAAATAAATGATTAAGAAAGGGTGATTGAGAAATTGAAAAAAAAAGAAAAATAAGGGAGAGGCAGAAAGAAGAAATTTTCAAGGACGTTGGTGACGTCAATCGCCGAGAGAGACGTTGAAAAGTGGCAGGCGATTGACTGCGGACATTATAAACGATGTTCGACAGTAGCTACGGGACTGTGCAATCAACTCTAAGTAAGGAATTTAAAATGATAAATATTAATGCAATTATTATCACACTGGCCATAGCTTTTGCAGAAGCGGTTGGTTCATCGCAGTGGCGATGGAGATTTCGCCGCAGAAGCGGTGGATTATAAGAATCTTACACTGGCTGCCGGTACAGACCGGAATATCTTGCTCGAGGGTAACTGTTTACGGCGGTAACGAGGCTCTGCCGAGTTTCCGCTAAACAGTTACCCGAGAGCAAGATATTCCCGTCTGCACTGACAGCTGGTGTTTGATTCTTTTTCTTGCATATTACATATCAATTATTTTCAGAACAGAAATTACAAAAACGGATATTCTAATAACGCACTTTTTTCTTATAGTAGCGTATGAACTTACATTCATTCATAACGTTTAAGTGACGTCATCCTAAGAACGCAATTCATTCATAAAAGGCTCGCGTCAATGACGTCATTTAATACACGCGACTTGTCTTACATGGGGGTGTAAGATAGAGTTTTCTAGCACCGGTGTAAACGGTAGATAATCCTGTCTGATATGCAAGAAAAAATATGTCTGTCGGTAAGTTTATGACTAAATTCTACTTTATGTTTAAATGTTTTACCGGAAACACCTAGTGAGACTGGAGCCCACATACGAGTGGTGTTCGAAAATAATTGCTTATTGTTCTCTATCTCGTGATCCACGTGGGACACGATAAAAACCAATACATACCTGTATAGGGTAATTCAATACTACACAACGGTGTATAAATGTACATGTTAGACTAAGTGTAAGACATACAATTTGCCATTTAAATACGCGCAGTCATTGACCACTGAAGTAACAAGAGCGATCAGTGATCACATGTGTCGCCTCATGATGGCCAATTTTATGTTGGGACAAGTTTTGTGAGAGACGGACAGACAGACGGACAGTGAACAACTAGACTTGGTACTGATCATTCCTGTAAAGTTTGGATGAAATTGCACCAGTAGTTTATTAGGAGTAGTCCGGACAAGCTTTTGTGTATCTGGCAACACACAGTAAAAAACACCTTTTTATCAAAGGGCCATAACTCGGCCAAAAATCATTCAACCGGAAAACCCGTGCAAAATGCGCAAGGACTTGAGCTACAGATCAATCCTGTAAAGTTTCATTGAAATTGCGTTAGTGGTTTAAGAGAAGTAGTCCGGACAAACTTTAAAAATAAAAATTATTAAAGGGCCATAACTCTGACAAAAATCATTGAACCAGAAATTGCTGACAATATGCACAACTAGACTTGGTACTGATCATTCCTGTAAAGTTTGGATGAAATTGCACCAGTAGTTTATGCATGAGGAGTAGTCCGGACAAGTTTTGTGACGGACAGACGGACAGCCTATATGTCGCCACTACTCCGTAGAGGCGACACAAAAATGGTTGGTAGAAGCGTCGACAAAAAAGATGAAATACGGACTTACATCAAAGCTCGCTCAAAACTGGGTTGCTCTTTGAAGCAGTTGATGACTGAACTCTCTACAGCTTATGGGCCTTCTTGTGTGTCTTATGACAGTTAGGCGATGGAAAAAGAAATTTGAATCTGGTGTAGAGAGCATCAAAAAATGCACCAAAATTAGGTAGGCCAAAATCTGCATCTCGAAACGAAATCGTTTCCAAAATAAAGGATATCATTGAAGGAGATGCCAGATTTACAGTTCATGATGCTCTAAATCCAATATTTAAACCATTATTAAACACATGTTTGACATTTATTAAGAATTTAAATAAAATGGATTTCTGACGCATGATGTGCCTTTGGAGATAATATTATAATATGTGCTGTTGTTTTTTGGGGTTTTTTTTGTCAACAAGTATATCTTCTTCTTCTACATATTTCGAATTTTTTATTTTCTATCTCTTATTTCATGCTTTTCTAAAATTAAATGAAAGTGCTCGTAAAGGTCACCAATTTTAACAGTAGTTCACAATGTCATACATGTATATGACACGTCTTGATGAAAGTCGATTTGCACGAAATTCACGCGCTTTTAAAAGACAATGGAAAAATACTGTTTTATATACTATTCACAATGCAATTTTGTTTTATGCAACAGCATGTTTTTCGACGCAAAGGCATGCATTTACAAAACTTGCACAACATATTTTAAAATCTGACGAACTTGTAAATTTTGGAAATACGGAAATCGTGTTAACTGCGTTATTACTGGGTCTTTCAAATAGAAATACTCTTGTTATTAACCGCATTTTGAAGGTGAATTCATGCGTTTTTTATAAAAAAAAGTATATTTTTGTAAAATGTCTGTAAAGATAGAATCCTCAATGATTGAAAGTGAAATGACATTGCCTTGTCATGCAACATCATGTTAGGAGAACTAGCATGAATTCGCCTTTGACATTGCGATGTCGCCGCACAGCAACACGACGATGCGATTTAATTTTGGCGGGAATAGCCACAGACACTTGGGGTTTGGAGCTCAAAACGCTTTTAAAATCCAAATAAAATGCATATTTTAAAATCCAAATAAAATGCATATTTCAACATCTATAATAATACACTATATACTATACACTATACTGTATTATTATAGATGTTGAAATATGAATTTTTTTCAAAACGGCTTATATTAAGTTTTTTATATATATATATATGATCAGTACATGTGCTGGGATTGACAAATACGCATTTTATTTGGATTTTAAAAGCGTTTTGAGCTCCAAACCCCAAGT